ACTGCGCACGCGCGCTCTACCTCCGACGGGAGTACTAGACGCGCGTGCGCAGTGCGGCGTTAATGTCCCCAGCTCGCTGTTAACATTCTCTGCCTGGAGGTTGTGCGCATGCGCGATGCGGCACACCTCCTCATCTATTGGTTGGACGTCACTTCCGGTGAGGCCGCGTCACCGGAAGTGACGAGGTATGTCTTTTTCACGGGGTATGTCTTTCTGATAGAACAGGTCGCTGTAGCTCGGGTACGAGCGGCGGTAGTGCGGCATGCAGGAACTCACTGTGCTTCCGCTTCCTGTTGTTGGCAGTATCAGTACACAGAGCGGCAGCATGGCTCCGGAGCGGGAGCATGGCTCCTCCAGTGAGGGGGAAGAAGAGGCGCCCGAAGAACTTACATTCCAGACCGCAAAGAGCCAGGCGTTGGAGAGCGCCAGGAAACGGCAGCAAGAAGCCAGACGGTAATAATAGCTAATAGCTGGGAACCATAACTCGCTATAATACCCCCCACCTCTCCCCCCCACAATGGCAGAGATACAGTAACCGGTCACTGACCCCCCACCTCCCCAACATCAGTGATAGAGCCTGGCAGACATTGACCAGTCACCGACCCCCTCCTGTGGCAGTGATAGAGCCTGGCAGACATTGACCAGTCACCGACCCCCTCCTGTGGCAGTGATAGAGCCTGGCAGACATTAACCAGTCACTGTATCTGTTGTATTCCACATGGCATTCATTTTATTTACATTGTGATGTTGGTCTGTGTGTACAGTTGATAATTCTGGAGTTAAATGTGACTCAGTCTCTTTTGTAAACCAATTTTATGTTTTGGGCTAATTGTGACAATCTTGTAGATTGTAAATATTTTTTGCACAACAGACTTTATATGTTTTAATATCTATATCCGTATTAAAATCGTGCGTGGTGCTGCTCAACGTCTAATGTATCCACCAGTTTATAATTTTACCTGGGCAATCTGAGCACCCACATCGCATCTAGTCTTTTTCTGAAGGACAAGCCCGATGTTTCTTTAGAAGATAGCACAAATAATCCAGGGCCACATTCCGTTGGCTGAGAGAACTCATCTGGCAATTTCATTCAATGAGCACAGTCCTGCGTGGCCTTGCATAGAACTACAGGGTTAGTTGGCTTCTCTTGCTGGAAAAGACCAAAATCAAGGGCTGCAGTCACTGTATTTGTCATCGAAAGCGCTGCGGAATTCGATGGCGCTATATAAATAACATAATCCAGGTAAGTTGTCAAATCTTAATGTAACGGTTTGACTTCTTCCCATGGGATGCTTCTGCATTTGTGCGAACATAACCACTACAGTGGGCTCTAGTGGTTATGGGACCTCAAGTGTTACTTTAATTCAGCAGATGGTAGACAACAATTTAATTACTACCACATCTTTTATACTCTCCAAAATAATTACAGCATGGCAGTGTCTGATTCCTCTGCATGATAACTGCTTAAGAGAAATGTATGGATTTGGGTTGTCATTGGATGTAGCAGATGGCACTGGGCTGTCCTGCAAATGTCTGTGAAAGAAATGCATTCGTGTGATCTGTTAGTTTCCTATGTGTTCTAAAGCCTTGTATTCTTGTGATTGTTCGGTAGTTTCGTTCCCTTAGTTTATTCGAATGAAACTACCGAACAACCAGACCTCCCCTGTGTGAAGTGTGTCCTCAATTACCCGTTGCAACATTGTTGCGAACGGGTAATTGAACAGTAAGTAGCCGTCCTTTGTTCTCGGGGGTGGCCGCCATTCGACAAACGAACACGTGGCGGCCATTTTAAAACTCCCGAACAGCGGTGTTTAGCCGTCGAGTGTCTGGAACTAAAATCGGACACTCGAGTAGGCGAACACCGCTGAGACCTCCACAGCCCTGGTCCGTTCGGTTCCAAACTACCGAACGGCCCCTCGTTCGGTAGATAGAGAATACCGAACGAGGGGATTCAGGCGAACCCTCCCTAGCCTCTATAGCTAGAGGTTTTCGTGTATTTTATTCCCTTATGCCAGGACCGACCGCAGGGCCCATTCACATGGAACCGAATTCGGCTATCTCAGTTCGTGCGGTCGGTCATTTTATTCCCTCCATACTTTTCCCGAACCCCTGGTCTGATCTGGGTGGTTTTTGGATATGTTGTTCACCCAGATCAGGGCTACCAGGGGATGTAGGATTTAAAGAGGTACCCCTACGTTTAGGGGTACATCCAGAAACGGGGGGAATTGGTGTACTGGATAAGGGGATTATGATGCTGGCGGAGGGGAGGAGATGTGTGGGAGGTTACCAGGACAGGATTGGCTACTGTAATAATTACTGTAATCCCTCCCTTGCATGGGAGCATGCTTTATAAGGAGACTGTGATTAAAGGCTTGTCAGTTCTGCTCCTGAAACTGTGTGTCGTCCAGTTATTGGGATTGCTGTGGGGAAGTTGCTGTTATTTTACCTGCTGGAAACTTTGCCTATGGATTTATTATTTACTTGTTCCTGAGCCTCACTTGGATTATAAGCGGAGACAACCTGGGGAATATTGCATCTCCGCTACATTGGACGTTTTCTATTACTTTTTGTGGGCTATTATAATACATGTTCCATGGAGCCTGCTTACAACTCATTAATAAGTTAGTGGTTCAAATTTGAAATTACGCAATGGTGGGATAAAGCGGCTCTTTCACCAATAACATAGCCATGGGGGGCAGGGAAAGGTGGGATTTACTAACATAAATCTGCCTATGGAGAGTCCATAAGACCCCTGCATCCTCCATAGAAAGAGATTTGTTTGTTTTATTTTTTCTCTTCCCCTACACTTTTCACTAGTGACAGCTAGGGTAAATGATAAGCTTGTCAAAAGCTTTTTGTTGAGCAGATGAAAAATACTGCAACAAAGTAGTAACTACTTTTTCTCCCTAGATCTTTTGACTTGGTTTGCCTTTCAGTGAAATTCCAACACAGTCAATCTGAGTATTTCATAAAGATTCAATCGTTATGAAATGCTCATTTTTGATATGGGGGTGTCAGAGCCGTTTTAAACATTAGGAATTATGTATATTTTGTTATTGTTTTTCATAGGTTTTCAAACTAAAAACAGTACACAAAAAAAATGAATCTGTGTTTTGTATTGTTTCACAATATAGCGGTGGACAGTTATTTTATGTCACACCTTTTTCCATAGAAATGTGCACATGATTTGGCTCTTTATTGACAGCCGTTTTTAAATGAAAAATGCTTTTTAATACCTTTAATAATTGTTTGGGGTAAGAGTTTTATTGCTAAAGCGTGCGGCAAGCCGGTAACATGACCCTTGTATATAAATTATGTGTATTTTCTCTTTGATAGAGAAAAAGCCCTGTTAAAAGAGAAGAGGAAACTTAAGGAAGAAAGGTTTAAAGAACAAAAGGTATGTTCTTAAATTTGAGTTTATGAACTGGTGCATTACCTTTGAACAGTCAAGTGTGTATTTAAATTAATATTCCGTGTGGGGCTTTCACTTTTAGAGAAGTAGCTTGTTCATTAAAATCAGTGTTTTCAGTGTGTTCTGATTTGCACACTTGTTCTGGTTTTCATTAATTCTACATTGTTGCTGCAAATAATGAAGTGCTAATGTTTTTAGTTGCACATTGTCAATAAACTTTTTTAAAATTCTTTTTATTTTCTGTAGAAAAGGAAATTGCTCTCCATAGAAATCCTTCAGGATTTAACTGCACTTCCAGAGCAACAGTGAGTGAAGTACCTTTTGTAAAATGTATTTTTAAATCTAAAAATGTCTCCATTGCATTTATGTGCACTATTTAGGTATGTGATCCATATTTGCTATTAAAAAAATAAATCTTTGCATTTTTGTGTTGATACTGGTTCCAATCACCATGTTTTTGGTTGTGAATTGTTGTCATAAAACTATACTCAGTGGTGGAGTTTGGCAGTCCAGCACCGTCATTTGGGTGCCTTGGTCTATGTAGGGTTTCACAACCTGAACAGAGTGCCATTTACCCACTAGTTGTGTGGAATATCATATGCACCATACTGTGCTAGTATTCTATTCAACCAGTTGGCAAACTGCCTTTCTTAACCGGTTGTTTAATAACCTCATTCTTTTACTCCCACGTTATATTTAAAGGGTACTTCGGACCATTAATTCTTTGTAAAATGGAAAAGGGGACACACTCATTACACAAAGTTTGGATTTCAATAAAAATGGGCACTTTTCTAAATTAACCTTGTTACACCCCCATGGCTTTCCAGCATGCAACAGGCTATGCTACTTCATGGTTGTTTAACTCATTGGAGCAAAATCCAAGAAACCGCAATAGCTCAGAGCACCGACCTTGCAAAGACTTGTCATTGAGTTGCATTGGGAAGTCTATGATTGACAACTACAGAAAGTTTGGGCTGAGGCGGAAAGGTATCACTTAAATATGTTTGTTTTATCTCCAGACTAGAACATTCTGAAGACAAAGAAACATTTCAGGAAGAAGGTAGGTTAGCATTATCTAACTTTTTTTTCCCTTTACATTTAATCAAAGATATCTTACGAACATAATTTTGAAAGACTTAAAGGAACACTCTGGGCACTATAACAACTTTATATCAGTGGAGTCGTTATGGTACCTGGAGGTCCTGAGTATCATGTTAAGAAAAATACAGTTATTTAACTGCAGATTGTTTTGTTATAGATGATAGTCAACCAAAATCTCAAACCAACAAGAAGCTTGAAAAGAAATTGCGTCCTAAAAAAAGGTAATGTGGTCTTTGAGTACCTGCCTTACTTTCTCTCATAATTGCATAGTGGTGCTGAATATGATTGCACTTTATAAATTCTAGTAGTAATAATTTATATGCTTTTAGGTAACCGTCACTCTAGCATTGTTATTCACTAAAGTGAGAATTCAAAGTGAATTTAAAATGTATGGCCAAGATAGCCAAACTGGGAATATCGTCTAAGCTTTCTGTGGTTTTCATTCCGTTATCCAGGCTATAAATGTAAAAGTCCCATGTTTAGAGGGGCCTGCATCATAGAATAGAACAATGTAACCCATGTACACCTGAATGAGTCCAACTATTCTGGTTGTCTGATAATGCTTTATTTTTGTATAGACATCTTCCCTTTTAAATAAGCTTGTGAACACAGAGGTGTCCTCTCACTCAACCACAATAACCCATTTGTTACTAAAGTTTGTACAATCGGCTGACAGCAGTTTCAGTTATCTTTTTAGGTATTGTCTTTATCCTTTTTTGTACCATACATAATGGCACATTGATAAACAAAATGAATATTTATAATTTGTGAAGTGGTTGTATAAAACTGGCCCATTAATCTTTATTACATTACTTTAGTGAATAATTATGTAAATCTTTCAAAGAGAGGAATACATTGAGTCACTAATTTGTTCTTAGGTGGTGGTATTTTGAGAACAAGTTGAAATGTGCCGATCCAACAGAGGTGTGGTAAATACTCATTGTACCGCTATCCTTCACTGCCTTATCTTTTTACGTACTTTACAAAAATAGTAATTTATTTGAGCATTAATTTGTGAATATTTAAAATAAAACCTTTGGTATGGCACAGACAATTTGTATGTTCCCTTGTTGTCCATATGGGGCATTATCTCTTTTGAGGAGATTGGACAAAACGTTTCCATTGATAAAGCCGAAAGATCTGAATATGTACGTGTTGTGCAATGCATGTGTTAAGAATTATTTGAACTGCCTTTTAATACAAGACCAACAAATACCGTACTGACTCAACTGTCCGCAAAAGTGAGTCACACAAAGCCAACCGGTAACACGTGCTATTCCTATTTGGTATCTTCCTACCCATAAACTAATTTTATGATTCAATGGGAGACAGAGTTAGCATTCTCTTTTGAAATTATAACCTGGTATAAGGTCTTGAATACTCTTAAAGGTATTACCTGTTGTACAAACCCTCTAGAAAATCATACAAAAATTGTCTACAGACAATTCTCCAGATGTCTTGCAAAAATGTACTCTGGCACATCAGATTTTTGCTGGATCAGCAGGAACCATCGCTCCTGAAGATCTAACCATTTTTTGGATTACATAGGCAAAATAATACAATCGTTCCTCTGCTTGGACCATTTGACTCCACAAATGTGGCCTCCAGAGTTCCTAAAATTCCCAAATTTTGATAAAGCTTGTACTCTAAAATTGTGCTATTGGACGTCTGGTACTATACCTTCTAAAAAAAAATGTGATAGGCTATCAACTAGGAATAGACCAATAACTATAGCCTATATTCAGCATTTTACAGATTATCGGTATCAGCCCTGTAATTTACCAATTTTACCAGAACAGATATCCCTTGTATTGAGAAAAGCTGTACGTAAATCCTCCAGGATTTTTTTTTAGCAGACAAATAACCAGAATGGGAAAAGGAAATGGTTTTAGCTTCTAGACCATACTACCTTTTTTAATTCTATCTCCCACCATACTGCAAATAACCTTTCTCCAAGGCATGCTCATGGCAAACATTAAAATTGTTCCTCCCAGGAGAAGGTAAATTCTTATACGAACTCCCTCTTATTAATTACAGACTTCAAAACAACTATAATGTAGTGCGCCTGGAAGATTACAATCTGCTAAATGTGCAGGAAGAGAAAGCAAAAACATTTATTCAGAAGACGTTGTATGGGAAATGGAAGAACAGGACAACAGGTAAACAGCTGAATTTTATTTATGTATTCTTACTATAATAATATTTGGTCTAAACTCAGCAATGATTTAAGTGAAAAAAAATAAATAAAAAAAAAATTATATATATATATATATATATATATATATATATATATATTTTCCCTTCAGATTAGAGGCAGTGCTTTACAACTGGGATTTCATCACCTGAAGAAAAGGCAGGCAATCTCCCAAACCTTTGAAGAACCTCCACCAATTAACATTTGGCCTTATAAATTGCTTCCTACCCAAGACATCCCAGGAGGGTGTCAGGTTCAGGTTTTCTCCCTAGAAGTATGGTGAGAGGGCTGAGGCGCTGGAGGCTCTACTTCTTTTAAATAAACTTTTCAGAGATCAGCCAGGGATAACACACCAGGTGGCTGTATCGCCCCGGGTTGTATTACTTCCGTCTATACCGTGCCAGGCAGACAATGGTGCGCATTTGGGCACTAGCTTCGAAGTCCTGGTGGTGAAACACTCGTACAGGTTACTTTTATTCCCACCGTGGAATCACGAAATGCAGGACATGCGTAATGCGATTTTAAAATTCAGGCGCCAATATCTTTATTTTTTTCTCTCTGGGGTCAAGATGTTGGTTTCCAGGTCTTAGAGAGGCTGTTTACCCAGCAGCAACTAACTGTTGCCAGGTGCACTCAGAATCTGTTGCAAGTGTGTTCTCACCAACCTCCAACACACTCTGAGGACATTTAAGGTAAGCCTTTTTGCTTTATCTTAAATGACTCTAGCCTGAATAAGTTAATTATCTGTGCTGCAAGATGGATAAGCTAAAAAAAGTGCCAATGTTTTTAAGTTGGAGAGTTTTTAGCTTCTCATCACTTAAAGATTATTCCTAAAATCTTAAAACAACTGGTGCTTTAAAAGTGTAAGCACTTAGTAGATCGGACCCATAATAGATTCTTTGGTTTTCTTCTTTTAAAAATAGGTTATTCTTTGAGTAAAGCCTATAAAGGGTATTAGATAAGAATATACTTTTACATAATTCTGTTGGTAAATTTAAGTTTCCTTTCTGGCTCAAAATAGCTGCTACACAGTGATTAGTTAATATGGGTCTCAACAGTCGATCTAATTGCTGCAACAGGCTCAGTAATTAAGTGAAGTGTTCCAGTGGAATATATTCACAGGAGCAAGACCCGTATGACCATTGGAGGATTATCCTCTGTATGTTATCCTTAGGAGGCTAAAATTTAATATCTGGTTTTGGTTAAGTTAATATACTGTTGTAGCAGATGGATTCTTTAAATGCCAGGATCCTAGCCGCAGTGTTTATTTTCTTAAAACATGCAGTAGGCTTTTAGCAATTGCTGTAGACAAAGCTCTGTTGCAATTAGCATTCTAACCACCTCAACTAGTTTCACCTGATATCGGTTTCTAAAAAGGCAGTCTGTTTTTCAGCTGGGGCAGAACTTTTCCTGTGCTTCACTCCATGGTTGCACATTTTATGTTTTGTCTTAAATTCCAAGTCCTATGTCAGTTACAAAGACAGGTTTGAGTTAACTGACTGTTGGAATGGCATTTTTAAAGAAAATGCTTCCTAATATTGGTTCCTGCAGAGTCTGCATCAAACAAGTTGAAATGCAGTTGCAGATATTCTTTCTGCTCTAGCCTCTGATTCCCAATTACGGTTAAGGAAGGCCTGGATCATGGGTATTGTCTTATGCAGACAATATGAGATAAGTTAAGGAATAAACCAATTATCTCCAGAGAGAGAGCACATAATTTCCCCAAAACTTAGAACACCCCTTTCCCCACAAGGTATCCCCACAAATTACATATCCCCTGATAGCCCCGATCGGTTCAGGGGTTCTGAAAAAGTGTGGAGGGTCCCTTTTACCGACCACACACGCAGCTCCTGCCCAAGAATTCAGCGCGTGCGGTCGGTCAATTCACAAAACTGAAAAAAACGAATAAAAGAATGGATCCCCTGGCTCATAGTAGCGATTGCTCCCCTTGTCCGTTCACACAGAACTACCGAATGAGGCTTTCCTGGCTGTTCGGGAAGTATGAGAAACCGGCGTTCGGTAGTTCGTGAGGTCAAGTGTCTGATTTTAGTTCCAGACACTCGACGACCAAGTCCCGCTGGCTCTCCTTGTGCGAACAAGATGGCCGCCATTTTCTTTTCCACGTGGCGTTCGGTTATACGAACAGCGGCCGCCCAGGGAGCACTTAATAGCTAGTTGTCTTTAAAGTAAATGAGCCAGGAGGGTGGTCGGCGTTCGGTAGTTTTTTATTTTTTATTTTCTTCACACTTTTTCCAGAAGATAAGCGGCAGTGCTCACTCCCCCCCCCCCCCCCAACCAAATTTTTATTAGTCTGAGTGGTACGGTTATTCAGCTTTTGTAATTTCTGGGGTTGTCTTTGGTAGGAAGTGATTTATAAGGCCAAAGGTTAATTGGGGGAGATTGCCTGCCTGTTTTTTCCCTCCAGGTGATGAAATCCCAGTTGTAAAGCACTGCCTCTAATCTTCTGGAAAAATAAATTTATGGTAAGTAAAAATTGTTTTTGTTTTTTTCCCCATTAAATCTGAATCTAAACCAGAAACTTGATTGCAATTCAATTTGTCTAGATGTGTATTTTGGCAATGAACGAACTTAATTCCTCCCACTAATTATCATTTTTCTTATTATTTTAACAGCCAGTGAATTTTTCTCTGTGTCAAGCAAAATAGGTGATGTTAAGAGGCCAGCGGTACAATTTACCGACAATACTTGGGGTATGTATTTTGTAGAGGTTGTGTTTTTTATTTTTGTGTTTTTTAGAATATTTGATTCTAAAAATTCCTCTTGGTTTTAATAGTACTAGTTTCTAAATACATCTAATCGCTTGTTAAATGGACACACTTGAGTACTTGAGCAGCAAACGTCATAGAATATCTGGTAGAAGGAGCCAGTTGCCAATCCTGCTATTCAACCATTGCCTGAGAGTGCAGAGTATCAACCATTAGCTGAGTGCAGAGTATCATTCCTTAAATGTTGCACATACTGGGTCATTCTACCATGACCACTTCAAAACACTAAAGTGGTCATGGTGAGTGGAGTATCCCAAGTAAAAACGTGTAGAACTAGCTCCAACTTCAATGTCCATTTACAATACTGAAATCCACTATGTGTGCAGTAATCATGATTTTTTGTATTGTGTGGTCATCATTAATACATGAGCATTGATGAAGTATTATTAGTATGACATCCTTTTTGCATAGTTCAATGGGATGGCACTAATTTTCTGATTATCGGTTAGTTATTCAGCAACGAAGAGAGCCTGCAATCTGCTCTCCATGAGGTGGACTCCCAAAAGCCCCTTGCTGTTGCCACCAAGCACTGCTTGTGTGATAAGCTTAGAAAAGCAGTCTGAACACTGTATGCACTACAGCTCATAGAAGTGGTGATGGTACATGTAGTCTATTGACGTCTTCCCTCAGTTTTGTGTGAAACCATTTGACTAAACTGGAGGTTCTTCTGGCACCTGTGCTCTGGCCGCTCATGTTTAGCCCTGTACTGCAAAGTGTAAATGCACCATTAGGAGTACAGCAGCTCAAAAATTGAACAGCAGATACCGTCTGTTGCCTACTAACACCATAACAATGACAAAGCCATAGTGGTTATGGTGCTTAGACTACTCCTTTAAGTGAGTATTATTAAATATTAGAACCCTTTTTTTCCTGAGAGAGATTAGTTTTAAATGGTGAGAAAATAAATGTAATGTAAAAACTATGCATTATGGTGAAAGGAGTGTGCAATCCAGAGTAAGTAGTCAAACCATTTAAGTGCAGTTTGACAACTCTCCTGCCACTGAGCTAAGACTGGCTGTGCAGGGCTGCACTCATTGGTTGAGAGTGCTCAGCTGAAGATGTCAGCAAATGAATGTGGCCCTGCAGGGCCAGACTTGGATTGGTGGGGATAACTTGGAAGTTTGTTGTAGAAGTTTTGGAGACCCAGGTAAATAACGTGTACCGTGGAAATGTGTGCAGTAGCGGTTATGGTGCTTAGGGTGTTCCTTTAGTTTAGACATGTGGCAGTGCACGCCCTGCTTTTTCTTTCTATACTTTATGCTGATCTGTTCTAGGGAATTGTCTGTCTTCTGTGATGTGTGTGTGTGTGTAACTACCTTTTAGTTGGTTATTGTATTGTGCAAATTTGCAGGACGTAAGAGCTTATATTTAGATTATTTTATGTTTTGAAAACATATTTGGTAAATGTATCTCTTCCAATTATTTAACTAAAATAATCATACATTGTCCAACTTTAAACTACCAGTGGCATACATCCTGTTTTCAGAAATTCCAAAGTATGCATTGACTTCTTTCATTTGAATATATTTGATATCATTTTGGGGAAAGTCCTACATTTGTGGACTGTTTCATAAAAAAGCAGATAAATATGGAAGCAAAATAATGTTTTTCCATTACTTTTCTTTTAGCGAAAGATGAGAAAAGAAGGGCAGAAAAGTTCATGCAAAGTTTTAAAAACCGAAGGAAGATATGAATTTTAATAAAACAACTTCAAGGATACATAAGAATTCGCATGGTTGCTGCACAGTGGCCAAAAATATATATATTTTTTCCATGTACTTTATTTGAAGATATGAAACTGTACAATATACATGCAACTACATATGCATGGTACAAAGGATAAAATGCCACTCAGCAAAATGTACATAATTACTTGTTTTGTTTTTTCTTTTTGATTAAATTGATATACTGTATGAATCTGTTGCTTCTTACCCCAGTTGTTTGCTTCTCTGTTTAAAGTGTTACTCTATCCCTTTTGAGGGGGAAACCTTTCCAATGTAATATGCACTATGGGGAAGGTCCTCCCTCTCAATTTCCAGTAAAACCTGCAAATAAAAGGCTTGAACCTTGAGCACCGGGCAATTTTGCACCCACCTCTGTAACTGGGCTTGTGCGCAGTACACTCATAGGCTTCTCATAGAGAAGCCTGTGATTGAACAATATTGCTGGCTCAGAGCGCATGCGTGTGCTCTGAGCAGGCAAGGGGATCGAGCCAATTGTAAAAAAGTTGTGATCAAAACGTAAACAAAACCTGGATTTTGCGCTATGTCTTCATCCATATTTCAATTCTTTCACATTACATGCACCCACACTTATTATATATCATTTTGTTCAAAAGAAATAGGGCTTTAGTGTCACATCCAATATTTATATATTAAACCAATTTAATATAAATAAATGTGAGAAATTGAGAAAAAAAAAATTTTTTTTTGTCTGCATGGCATCTTAACTGTGAATGTCATAATACTGTTTGCTGTTACTGCAATAAAGTACACATAGTTTGTATTCAGTGATGTCGTACAAGTAAAACAGTACCCCCCATGTACAGGTTTTATGGTGTTTTGGAAAGTTACAGGGTCAAATATAGCCTGTTACATTTCTCAGTATATACACATTGAAATTTGCAAGATTGGTTATGTTGCCTTTGAGACCATATGATAGCCGAGGAATGAAAATTACCCCCATGATGGCATACCACTTGCAAAAGTAGCCAACCCAAGGTTTTACAAATGGAGTCCAGACTTTTTTAGCAGCCACTTAGTCGCAAACACTGGTCAAAGTTAGCGTTCATATTTGTTTGTGTGAAAAATGCAAAAAACTAAAGTGAATGCTAATTTTGCAACTCACTAGTCTAATACTATCCTTACCTTATTGTGTCACTTTACCTCACTCCATCTAGCATGTAAGCTCATTGAGCATGGCCCTCAACCCCTCTGTTCCTGTGTGTCCATCTTGTCTGGTTACAACTATAATGTCCATTGTAAAGCGCTGTGGAATTTGGCGCTATATAAATAAAATATATATATATATATATATATTATTTACTTTGTTAAACATTTTAATCACTTTTTTTTTACCAACATTTTAAAACTTTTTTTTTTTTGCAGGCTTTAGGGGGACAGCCTGAGAGCTCAGACAGTACCCCTGCAGGCACTGCATAAGCCAGCTTATTGTTAAACTTAGTGCATCTCTGGTGCTGTTTGAAAAGATATAGTGCGTCGCTAACCTTCCAGCAAAGCTCACAAGCTTGCAGAACATGCTGAAGCTAAGCAGTTTAGCAGAGAGTGGCAGATGGGACTGCTCAAGGTAGCTGTATTGCCTAACTGAATTTTTATTTATTTTAATCTCTCTCCATCTGCCACAAGTAAAGGATTTAGGCCACACTGGGTGATATTAAATTGTCAACCAGAATTGTTCTAAGCAGCTTGAAGAGTTGGTCAAAACCGTTTTTTTTCTTTGTTTTTGATAAAGGTGCAATTATAACAGCACACAATATTAACCCCTTCAGGACGGAGTCAATAGTACACGTTCTGATCAAAACAAAAACTGGAATTTGCGCTATATGTCTGTTCAACCGTAATTCACCTCTTTCATATTAAATGCACCCACACTTATTATATATCATTTTGATCAGGAGAAACAGGGCTTTCATTTCATATCAAATATTTATATGTGAAACATAATTTATTATGAATAAAATTTAAACTGTGAGAAATGTTTATTTTTTTATTTTTTTAAATTTGTAGTTCCGCCTCACATTTTAGCTGTAAATGTCATAATACTGTTTTTAGGTATTACTGCAAAAAAATGCACATATTTGTAATCAGCGATGTCTCACGAGTACAACAGTACCCTCCATTAACAGGTTTTATGGTGTTTTGGAAAGTTACAGGGTCAAATATAGAATGTTCCATTTTCAAATTGAAATTTGCCACATTAGTAATGTTACCTTTGAGACGGTGTGGTAGCCCAGGAATGAGAATTACCCCCATAATGGCATACCATTTGAAAAAGTAGACAACCCAAGGTATTGAACGTGGGGTATGCTTAGTCTTTTTTAGTAGCCACTTAGTCACAAACACTGGCCAAAGTTAGCGTTCATATTTGTTTTTGTGTGGAAAAAAAGCAAAAAACTCCACAATCGATCTCAGACCAACACCGCCCAACCACCAAGGACCCACAAACCAATAGAGCTCATGCCAAGATACATGACACCAGGAGACGACAGGCAATAGGACTAGAACCCCCACCAGACCCACCCCCCCTTCCCTCATGGTACCCCTAACTCTCCCCGAAGGGAACCTCATAAACACACCGACCAAACACTGAACCAAACGGCACACTACGCACACAACTATGTAACTTACGAACCGAAAATGTTCTTGTTATAGCTGTTAAAATATCATATACTGCAACACAATGTTACACCCCTCTACAAATAAGCTTTAGAACCCTCTCTCGGAATCGGGACCAAAGTCCTACAGCAACATCGAAGGACAGCAACAGTTATGGAACAAAAACTATGTAATTACTTCTTCTTTATGACTGTTTTGTAACACATTAATGCAACTCATGGTCTCTGAAATTATCCTTGCTTCCAAGTTTTCTTTTCTGTACCCTAACCCCCATATTACTGAAAAATTCAAAATAAAGAATTTATAAAAAAAGAAAAAGAACTAATATTTGGCCAGTGTTTGTGACTAAGTGGCAACTAAAAATGACTGGACATACCCCATTTGCAATACCTTGGCTTGTCTACTTTTGCAAATGGTATGCCATCATGGGGGTAATTCTTATTCCTGGGTTACCATACGGTCTCAAAGGCAACATAACCAATCTGGCAAATTTCAATGTCAAAAAAATGAAATGCAAGCCTTATATGTGACTCTCTAACTTTCCAAAACACAATAAAACCTGTACATGGGGGGTATTGTTATTCTCCGGAGACTTCACTAAACACAAATATTAGTGTTTTAAAACCGTAAAACATATTACAACAATAATATAGTCCATAAAAGTGCAGTTTGTTTGTAAAAAATTCAAAAAACTTCACTTTTACTTAAAATATCATCGTTGTAATAAAATTTACCAGTTTGAAACACTAATATTTGGGTTCAGCGAAGTCTCCCGAGTAAAACAGTACCCCCTATGTGCAGGTTTTATGGTGTCTTGGAGAGTTACAGGGTTCAATAGAGTGCTTGCGAATTAAATTCTCTGCACTTTCTCCCTGTGTTGTCAGGCATGTCAATCAAATTTTAATTAATCAAATCACATAATTCTGGTAAAAAATTACTTAAATATACACGTAGAATTTTAATATAAATGCATTTATAGGTATTTAAATTTTACGTGTATACTAATGTAATCTTTTATGTAATTATATGTGTATATATATATATATATATATATTTGCGGTTATTTGTATTTTATATATAGATAGTCATTCTAAGTGTATTTTGTTACATATATATATATATATATCAAAATACAGTTAGAATGAAATTACATATGAATATGTAATTTTGTTTCAATATTTTATTAATGTAATTATATATATATATATATATATATATATATATATACATATAATTAATGTGTTTATATCTATTATATATAATATATACATATATATAACATCATTCTAAGTGTATTTTAATACTTATATATATATACTAATATTAGTATTAAAATACACAACGTATGACGTTATATATATATATATTTTTTTTTACACATGCTTATTATTATTTTTTTTCATTTACCACCAGCAGGGGGACTGTCTGATATTTCAGACAGTCCCCCTGCTGGCAGATCCATAGCCAGCTATAGGGGGCCTCATTCGCCGGGGGAGGGCTGCCTGGGCGGTCAGGCAGCCCTCCAGAAGAGGATCGCAGCGGAGGTAAGTAGCTGTGATCCCCTGGGGCTCAAAGCCATTACGGCGTTCTATGCTGCCGCAACGGCTTTAAAGCTGCGACAGCATAGAACGGCGTTAATGGGTTAAATGACCGTTATGATCCTTTGTTTGCATAGCCATTCTATACATGGAAGTAGATATGGTGTAACACAAAGATGTGTAAAAAGAATTAATAATATATATATATATATATTTATGTTCGGTGCTATTCTTGTATTGTATGGTGTCACAATAGGTATGAACAAGTCAGTTGAAGTGTGCCGAAACCGACGTATGCGGTAGGCCTGTAATAAAGAGGGCAAAAATAAGCAGTGTCTTTGCCAAAGAAAATATTTATTGCATAGAAAAACATAGTGCAAAGAAAATACCTCAAGATGACAGTTTAACAAATGCCGCCCTACTTTCTAACACAGGTTGAGGTATATATAAAGCAAAGGCTGAGGACTTCCAGCGGCCCAAAGACTTGATTACATGTACTGGAATATTTTGGCTGGAGGCTGCCCCTATCTGAAATGAATGGCCAGAAAAGTTGCCAGCGTTCAGACCTAATCTGGTCCGTAACATGCGGACGTATTGCATGAATTTGGCTGTTGTTAAGACCTCTTTGTGTAAGACTAGCAGCGGGCTGTCAGACTGCGGTGGTAATGAGTGGAGGTATGTATCCAATACTTTCACCGGGCACCATCTGTTTGCAGTAGGATAATATGTGACTGGTACCATCTTGCCCAGCTGGCTTGTTTTCGTAACTGGTAGTGACAAGATATAATGATCATGTAGTTTGGTGAGATGGGACCGTTTGAGGCAGTTTTGTGCGTATTTATGTCCGTGTATGGTAAACTCGCCAGGTCTAAGAAAACCATAATATGCCAAGTAGATGGCTGTTTTGATTACCATGTTTGTATAGTGTTCAAATGGGGCCGTGTCCAACAAGTCGGACATATCCTTAAATAGCTGCTTATGTATCGGTAATCTTGTTGATGGAGGAGTGGTACTGGATTTCTGTACGCCTTTAAGAATGTTTTTAATGGGGTAAGAAGATAAGAAACTAGAGTTATCTGGGTATAAGGTATACATGTGGTGTTGTATGCCGGTTAAATATAATTTGATGGTGTTGTGTGACAGTTTGAGTTTAAGATGACAAAATGAAACAAAAGCTACCAGTGTTGAAATGGCAAAAAAGTTGTTTTCTATCATAAACCTCTTGTATAGTTTGAAGGCCCTATCGTAAGACCGTTTAGTATTGTCGGACAGGGCTAGACCTGAAAACATGGTGCTGCAGTGGCTGTGGGGGAGGCCGTGGCTAACGTCTCTTTGAATGCCTGGAATTCGAAGCGAGACAATTTGTCAGCTGCAGTATAAAAGACCCCTGGTACATGAGAACACACCAAATAAAATATCATCGTTGTAATACAATTTACCAGTTTGAAACACTAATATTTGAGTTCAGCGAAGTCTCCCGAGTAAAACAGTATCCCCTATGTGCAGGCCGCCAGCCAGGTCAGTCTTCTCATGATCGTTAGAGACTCTGATCGGCCTTTGTTTATGATGTGGCAGGTAGCTAGGTTGTCGGAAAAACAGCGTACCGAGCTACCTGCCCAAGACTGACCGCACACCGCCGCTGCCGCCACAATGGGGTATATCTCAAATAAGGCCGAGGTGCGTGAGAAACATTCAATGTGTTGGACCTCCTCTGGCCAAGCATCCCAAAGCCACTTGTTTCTACAAATTTGGCCGAAAACCCGTTGCTGCTGCCGCATCTGTCCAAATGACCGGAGAGTGGACAGACAATGGAGGCAAGAACATACTTCTGCCATTCCATTGCAACAGGAATTTGCGCCACATTAGCAAATCAGCTGTAGCCTGTGACTCCAAGCTGATACGAGTAATGTCATTTTGTATGAGAGGGAGGAGGCAAAGGAGTCTAGAGATAAAGGCCCTGCCTTGCGGGATGATTCGTATAGCAACATTCAACAATCCCAACAAAGATTGCAATTCCTTCCTATTGCATGTCCTATTGACCAAAAATGTGTTAATGGATTGTAGTATGCTGTCAATTTTTCCTGGAGGTAAGCTCGCTTCCATGTTTACTGAATCGAGTAGGATACCTAGGAAAAAATGATATGGCCTTAGTCAGATCACTGGGGGAAGAGGAATTATTCTTCACGAACAGAAATTCGTCCAGATAATGTATAACGGCCTGGCATCTGCAATTGTTTAACAGCAGCCAAGATAAGGTTTCGGAAAAGATGTCAAATATTTTTTGGCTGCTTTTTGACCCGAACGTGAGTCTTAGACACCTTTCCATTTTAAACCATGCAGATGCCATAGTGACGGGCGAATGGGTAGTAACTTGAACGCATTGACAATGCCAGTTTTACTCAGCCAAGCACCTACGCCAGCTGTGATGATGGTGTGTATAGCGTTGTCTATAGTGGCGTACTAGAGTGAAAATTCCTCGGATGGAATTAGGGAATCAAGGCTTGGTATGGCCAAGGAGTGAGGTGCTGATAGGTCTAAAATAAGTCTGTGTGTCCCCGAGGATTTCCCGGTGACTAATCCTATGGGGTTGGTTCGCCAATTTGGAAAATGGGGGCTCGTGAAAAGGTCCCAATAAAAACCCATCCTCTAATTCTTTATGTAATAGAGCATCGATCATTTCCACGTTTGCAAATGCTGACTGTAAATTGTTGCATTCGTAAATGCCAGCGGGGGTATGAACCAACCCTGTATGGAATCCCTCCGTGAAACCATCTATCAAAAAGTTCACTAGTTGTTTGGATGGATGAGAGGCTAATGCGTGTGCCAAAGAACCAATCCTTACGGATGTCAAGTATGGTTTAGTGTGACTTTTATTGGGACACATGGACTTAGCGTGTGCCCTAAAACAATGTGAACACACGTAACAACCTGCAGGCACTATAACCAAATGTACGTACGTTAAAGTTATTGCAAACCTGAGACTTTCCCAGGTAAACAATAGGGCGACCAAGTTTGTCCTTGCCAGATATGTCCAACCTGGTCTGTGGTTCGCGGAAAGTCCCAGGTGTGGACTCTGGCATCTTGGGACAATAGTCCGAGGAATGAGATGTTGAAGCACAAACTGCACAAGCTGGTGTCTTGAGACCGGCAAAATGTCTACAAAATAGCTCAGTATCCATGCGGCTCCAGTCAGTTTTGACGTTATACTCTGCCAATATTGCAGACGCTCTTGCCGAAAAGGATTGGTGATAGTCATAAAAGGATGACCCACCATATTTGCTTCCCAAGTCCACCAGCTTGTGTAAAAGGATGACCCACCATATTTGCTTCCCAAGTCCACCAGCTTGTGCATGTAGAGGTCGAGTTCCTCTCGTCTATGCGGATAAACAGAACAAATTACATCACAATATATACCAAAAGCCAAGACAAAATCAGTTATGGACAGTTTCTTATTCAATCTAGGGTCCCTGGCTTTCAATACCACTGAAATATCACCATAAGCATAAATGCGGTTATCAATGACATCGTGAGAAGCAATAAGTAGCGCCACAAGATTGACATCCTTCCCCTCCAAGATGTCTTTCTTAATCTTGTCTGGGACCATGTGCACAGGATTAATAATGTGAGTTTCAGAACCAGAAGGCACATAATTACCCGATTGGAATAGTGGAGCATTGGGGAGTATGGCAGTTGAAGGCTTGGGAGACCTGACAGGAGGGCTCCGAGCCTCGATCCTATCCAGTCTCTCGTTGACCTTGCTCATGGATGCTACTAGTGAAGCGACCATGGCATGTAGGTCCGAGTTGCCCGTACCACTTGTGCCCTCTCCCGCCCCCGAGTTATCAGTATGAGTCTGCATTAATTTGTAGAGCTCAGCTTTTCTGGCCGTGGCAGGAAAAGGAATGCTGCGTCTCCGGAGTTCTGCCGTAATGCGAGGGATGGTCCATGACCTTATTGAGGTTGACCTCCCAACGTCGCCTTTATGAGTAGGTGACAAGGATCTGGCCGGAGAACTGGGTAGAGATAAATTTTCTGTGTCATCCGGTAGATGTGACATACTAAAAGGAAATAATCAAACCATCAGCCATTATACCATCTTTTGGTTACTGGCTGGCTAGCTAATGCCGGATGGCGAAACAATTTCCTAGGTGTGGTGACAGGTGAGGCCCTGCTAGTTGCCAAGTGGCTTGAGAGGCTCTATCGATTGGCGCGAGGGAATTGTTGCCACTGAAACGTTGTGGCGGGGTGTTGGCTTCTCGATGACGATTAAAGCGCATAATATAGTATAGGAGTGACAAGTGAGGCCCTCTCTATGCAACCGTGCGAGGCGGCTAACTATGATTTGGCCCGAGGGGCAAATGTCCTCAAGCGTGGAGGAAATGGGTTGGCCTCGCGGGACCACTACTACTAAGGTGAAGAAGCCCGGATAATTTACTAAAGGCCGCCTATCCTAGATATGCCAGTAATACTAAATCATAAGCTCTAAGGGGGGAGCGGTGGGGGGTGTTTAGGCAAAACGTACCTGAGACCGCTTGTTGTTGTTGGATCAAAAATTAGGTCACAACCAACAGAGAACCTGAGACTTCCACCACTAAACTAATGGAAGCGAGGTTTATACCTAGTGATAGTAGAGAGGAGTATATGTTATACATGGTAATAAACGTACTTCCCTGTTATATGCTGAGAGTACCCCTTACTTAACACCTTACTTACTGGACAATGTTAAATAAAGATTTGATAGTAATAGTTGATTTGAGTCAACTTGAACCTGAAAAGTAAGCATAGAGAAATAAGTAATGTGATCACTGATACTAGCTTTGTAGCATAATGCACGTAAGGCATGTGAACACATTGTAATCCACAGCAACCCGCACCACTATAACATGTAAGCGGCCGCACTCCTTTATCGCGTATCTTAGAATGTGCCCTATGGTCACGTAGTCAGGTGGCATGAAATACCACCGCATGTTGAACCACTTGTGCCATGGTAGTATATAACACCATAGTATGCCACAAGTCATATAGTATTATGGCATACCGTAGTAAGTAACACAATAGAATGTAACACCGTTTGAACCTTAGTGATAAGCCCAGTAGTATGTAATACCGTAGAGCAGCTTAGTAGTGTGTTACATAGCAGTATGTATTACTGTAGTGCCGTACGTAGAATGTGGCAAGCTAGCATTAAATAATATATGTTAGTATACAGCTTAATTGGTATATGATAAGTATATAGTGGTATGCAGCAAGCAGTATGAAAATAAAGTATACATCATTATGCCGTTCAGTTAGAATGTGTTACGTATACAGTAGTATGCAGTAAGTAGTATGACAAAGCATACATTAGTACGCAGTTTAGTTAGTATGTGCCAAGTATTCAGTAGTATGCAGTAAGTAGTATGACAAAGTATACATTAGTATGCAAGTAGTATGACCTAAAGTATATGTTAGTATGCAGTAAGTAGTATGACATAAAGTATATGTTAGTATGCAGTTTAGTTAGTATGTGCTAAGTATTCAGTAGTAAACAGTAAGTAGTATGATAAAGTATACATTAGTATGCAGGTTAGTATGTGCTAAGTATACATTAGTATGCAGTAAGTAGTATGACATAAAGTATACATTAGTATGCAGTGTAGTTAGTAAGTGCTAAGTATACAGTAGAATGCAGTAAGTAGTATGACATAATGTATACATTAGTATGCAGTTTAGTTAGTATGTGCTAAGTATACATTAGTATGCAGTAAGTAGTATGACATAAAGTATACATTAGTATGCAGTTTAGTTAGTATGTGCTAAGTATAAAATAGTATGCAGTGAATAGTATGTCATAACAGTATACATTATGCAGCCCAGTACTTGTACTGTGGTATGTGCTGCAGTATTTACAGTTTAACTTCCCCAGCAGCATGTAAGCTTGTTTAGTAGTGTACTAAGTAGGCTGAAACCTGTCAGCAGTGTGGAGACCTGTGTGGTCTCTGGCTGCTGTGTCCGTGCGTTTTACTGCCAGCCCCCCCACCTCTATGGACCATCCGGCGTGTGGCAGATGGTGAGGGGACCGGAGTATGCAAGACTCACGATTTTTGTGCCCCCGAGCGTGTGGGAAAACAGCAGCTGTTTGGCAAACTGAAACACACAGACCGCAAACCGGAAGTGATCATAACCCGGAGGTCCGAAACTGGAAGTGATGCCTGCCGAAGTCAAAACTACACGGTGATGGAGAGAAAGGGGGGTGAGTTTAAATAGGATCACCACGCCCCTCCCACAACTCCAGGCTAGCCTTTACATGTATGAATGTGGAGTGCTCTCATTTTTTGCTTTGTTTATATATATATATATATATATATATACATACACACACTCACACTCTCTATCAGAAAAGTATTGGGACACAATTATTGAATTCAGGTGTTTCAATCAGACCAATTGCCACAGGTGTATAAAATCAAGCACCTAGCCATGCAGTCTTCATTTACAAACATTTGTGGAATAAAATGGGTCGTTCCAAGAGCTCAGTGAATTCAAGAGTGGTACTGTGATAGAATGCCACGTTTGTCCTAAATCAGTTAGTGATATTTCATCCATGCTGGATATTTCACCTTCAACTGTAAATGGTAGTATTTGGAAGTGGAAGGGTTTAGGAACAGCAGCAATTCGTCCACGAAGCAGAAGACCATGCAAAGTCATGCTGAAACGCATGGTGTGTAAAAGTCGCAAACACTACTGAATCCATAGCTGAAGAGTTCCAAACTTCCACTCGCATTAATCAGCACAAAAACTGTATGGGGGTAGCTTCATGGAATGAGTTTCCATGCCGAGCAGCTGCATGCAAGCCTCACATCACCAAGTACAATGCCACATGTGGGGTCGAGTGGTGTAAAGCACTCTGCCAATGGACTCTGGAGCAGTGGAAAAGTGTTCTGTGGAGTGATGAAGCACATTTTTTCTGTTTGGCAGTCTGATGGGTGAGTCTGGGTTTGGTGGAAGCCAGGAGAACATGAACTGCCTGATTGTGCCAATTGTAAAAGTTGGTGGAGGAGGGATAATGGTATCTGGCAGTTTTTCAGGAGTTGGCTAGGCATATTGTCTTTGTTCTGATGAGTATAAGTCCCTTCAGGCTTTTTGTAGTAAACACTGACTTTTCAGGGAAATGGCATTGTTTACATTACAGCCTAGGGATACCTCCAGTGGCCACTACTCAGATGTGAGCACTGCACTGACATTCAGTGTATCCACCCTCTGCTTGGAGACACTGAACATTTCTCATAGAGATGCATTGATTCAATGCATCTCTATGAGGAGATGCTTATTGGCAAGGGCTGTGTTTGGCTTGTGCTGGCTCTGCCTCTTTCACAATCTCAGCTAATCCAATGCTTTCATATAGGAAAGGATTGTAATTGGCTCAGATCACCACTTTTGATTATGTCAGCCAAGGAGGCAGATCAGACTGGATTAATGGTAGGATTTTACTATACTTAGGGAGGGGGAGAGGCTAGAGCAATAATTAATTTTATTAAAGACACGGAGGCTCCTATTATTCTTCTCTTTCTTTAATTTTCCCTCAGCAGCGAAGAGAGAAATGAATGTAAAAGAGAAAAAAATAGCATATCATTAACATATATACATATTCAACAGTGCTACTAATCAGTAACCACCCCCTTTCAGTATATAAGGTGTAGCACTCTCTTCCTCCCCCTCTTTCATCGCTGCTCCCTCAGACCAGCTAAGTACATTTTATTCTCTTGCTTGTTGTATTATTGTCACTTGGAATTACAGATATTATCCCCTTTGCTAGTAAGGGTTTTGCTGTTCTTTCCTACACGAGTTCTCATGTACTTAGATTTGTTCTTTATACTTTAATATTAATTCTGTATATTCCTGGGTCCTGGAGTGGGTCCAGGGTTGTTTTATTCCCCTCCTTTCTTGTGGGTTGCCTTGGCTCCCTCCCTATACCGACCGGAACCATCCAGAGTCCCCCGTCCCCCCTCCTCGACCGTTCCCGGCCCCCTCCAGCTTTACAGCCCGGCGGTTACTTTCGTTTTCATTTTAGCCCCGCGCGCGGAACACTCGCGGTGGCCATCTTTTTGGTTTTCTGTTGCCGCCCGTGCCGGTGGCCATTTTAAGTCACTTGTGCTGCGGTTTTTCGGTTCTGTGGAGGCTGCACTCGACGCGGTTCTTGCCACCCACACAGGACCCGGGTATTTTGTCTGCTATTCTGTCCTGTGCTTGGATTAAGCAATCCAGCACCTTCCTTATTTATTTCATTTACTCCTATTGCCTACTTCATTTCTGCTATCATACAGTCTGCTGGTGGTGACTTACCTGGCCACCCGACCCCCCCCCCCCAGGGGCACCCCTGGCTCTGATTTACAGGCTGACCATAGGCTCAGAGGAATTTCAGAGCCTCCTGGACGCCACTATGTCCAATTCCATCAGTAAGGCCATTTCCTCTGTCATGGGGGCTATGTCCAGCATTTCACAGTCCATCTCCCAGGCCCTTAGGCAGGCCCTCCCTGCTCAAACTGAGTTAGTTCAGTCTCATACTACCCCTGAAGGGGCTACCACAGGACGCAAGGCGCTAGGCAAGCGCAAACACGCTCAAGACCCCCCCCCCCACACCCAGGTAAAGCCTGGTTTGATTGACACGTCTCAGACTGTCTGTGATGGTGCGCAACAACCGCGCAATAGAGCTACTGGCCGGGCTACGGCGACCAGAGTGTGGAAACGGGCACGGGCCCACGATTTACTGTCTGAGTCAGACGAGGATGGGGAGGAAGGGTCAGATGACCAGTACTCCGATCCCTACGGGGATGAGGCCTCAGGAGATGAGGATCTCCTGGGAACACAATTCCCTTCTAGACCGGCTCAGGCTAAAGTACAGTCGGAGACTCCTGGGGCAGAGTCAGCCCGTGACGCAAAAGATACCCTTGCGTTTGATCCGGACAATCTCAGACACCCCTGCTCCGCTGAATGGGAGCCCACTGAGCACAAGAGGGTCGTAACAAACTGAGAGCGGAGTGCCCCCGACCCATCATACCTGATGCAGTGCAAAAACCCCTGAAGTTGACCCGCAAATTGTCCAGTTTCTGGCCAAGACTGGTTGGAAGCCCAAGAAGGGCCTAGTTACTCACTACGCAACTGTCAGGATAAGTTCCTCGACACTCTGGGCCCAGTCACCAAGCTGTACGAATTGCTTGAAGCAGCTCAGTCGGGCTAGGCACAACTAGATTTTGAGGTGGCGTTAGGATGGCTCCAATGCCTAGTATGCATGATCGGCAACGCCAACACGGCAATGTCTACCGAACGCAGGAAGGCCATCCTGCTAAAGATAGAGCCCAAGCTAGTGAGCATGGCCCCTAATGAACCTGGTGCCTCTGCGAAAGGCTTACTGTTTGGAGAGTCCTTCGTGAAGGACCTGGGCTCCTATCTCAAGACCTTTTACGGCTTTGAACAAAGCCCAATCTTCCAGAAACGGGTGTTTAGCCAAAAGGTTTTTGGCGGGGCCGGTAGAGGTGGGAGCCGTCTACCCGGCCGCAATCCCTGGGGTTTTTCCAGACCGGAAAGAGGCTCCTTCAATCCCCAGAGACCGAATCAGGAACGGTCCTACACCCCGTTCTTCCCATCACGAGGACGGCCTTGGCATTCCTGCGGCGGTCGAGGAGCATCCACGGGAAAACACCCTTATGGGGAGTACCCTTTTCCCCCATGTTTCCCATATAAATGTGGGGGGCAGACTGGCCCTGTTCTATCGGGCTTGGGCTATGATCACGTTCGACAGTTGGGTGTTACAGACTGTAGAGGGTTACCACCTAGAACTTACGGCTTTCCCCATTCAGGGCACTCCCTGGAGGGCAATCCACATGCCAAAATCACACCACGACCTCATCTCTGCGGAGATCAGGGAATTACAGGCCAAGAAGGCTATAGAGGAAATCCCTCTAGATACTCCAGGTTTCATGAGCAACCTGTTTTTAATGCCGAAAAAGGGAGGCGGTGTTCGCCCGGTTACAAACCTACGGCCCTTAAATGCCTTTGTCCAATACCGACACTTCAAGATGGAGGGTATACATTGCCTCAGAGACCTGCTCCTTCCCGGAAACTGGATGGTCAAACTAGACTTGCAGGACGCATACCTGACAGTCCCGATAGCGGTAATACACAAAGATCTACTCCAGTTCCGTTGGGGAACAAAGAAATGGCGGTTCACGTGCCTTCCTTTCGGTCTGTCCTCCGCCCCATGGTGCTTCACAAAGATACTCAAACCAGTGGTGGCCTTTCTCAGACTACACGGAGTCTGCCTTATCATTTATTTGGACGACATCCTCCTGCTCTCTGGGACACGGTCCCTACTGCTAGTGCATTTAAAGTGGACCCTACATCTTATCCAGAACCTGGGCTTCCTAGTGAACTGGAAGAAGTCGGTTCTAATTCCTTCACAACAAATGGAATTCTTAGGATTCCGAGTCGACTCCGTTCGACAGATCCTATGCCTCCCGGCAGAAAAGATGTCCAACATCAAGAAAGAGATAAGGCGACTTATGCATCGACCAAAAAATAAATGAAGAATGTAGCGCTTTAAATACTTTGTGTCACCTTTTATATTACTTGTGAGAGGGATTTTTCACTGATATCCCTGATTACACGTGTTTCTTTTTCCCTTAGTAGAAAGTAGTAATCAGTCTTTTGGTATTGCTTGAGAGGAGATTTTTCACCAGTATCCCGAATTAGAAAAGAAACGTTTTTTATGCTGCTGGAGGGAAATCTTTTTCACTCGTATTCCAAATAGGCAATATATCTAGAAGATAATTATAACAACATAGTATAGCCCGTAACAAGTTTTAAAATGTTATAAATATAGAAATGGCACACTTACAGACCCAGAGCTGAAAACTCAGCTCTAGTTGAATTCACTTCTGGGTCCGTTTAGGCGACCCACCCCTCAATAGGAAATGATATTCAGTCCTGAAGGGGAATGGATATATAAAAAAAAAATAGCGTAATATAGTTAAAATAAATGTATCCCTTATAAAGAAATCCCATAAATGGGTACTCACAAACGTGGAGTCTGTATGACTCTCTTATCGAACTTTATGCAGGCTAGGGGCTGCACTCCCATAAGGAATAATAAAGGTGTCGAACCAGGTAGATGTAGAATAAAAAAATTAAATAATTTATTAAATCTATAAAAGAAAATAAGGAACAATGTCCCAATAAAAACCGGAACGCGTTTCACCACTTCATTGTGGCTTCCTCAACCGGATAAATCAGCTGCACATATTCTGGTTCACCTTTCTATTTATATGTATCATTCCTAATTGGTTAATTGTTACATTGTGTGTGTGGACCGCACACGCTATTACCATCTATCGGTAAAGCGTCCAAGCCTCGATCATTCTGTGTGCTCCAATAGTACAGGCGGACGCCCCTATTTGGAGCTCCGTCTGCCGTTTTTTTATTAAAATAGGAGCATCTGCATAAATTCCATTTTCACATCTTCTCTTTCGTAGTACGAATTCTTTTCGTTCTTCTAGTGTTTTAGGAGTATACCGAAGTGTAAAGTCCATAGGGCTTTCTTATAGTTCTTAAAGATTTTCCTTTTTTTTTCTCTGCAGTTTTTAAAGTTATAGAGTCCATAAACGTCTTTGGGCATCCTCAAAGTAACAGACATGTAAAAAATACAAAGGGAAAGTATTCCATATCAGTTCTTATCATTAACAGATTATTGATTAGAGTTTTTTATATATATATACAAATATCTCTAATTATGATATTAACACATACAGAATTTTAATATCCGTATATCTATATACAAATATCTCCAAGTATAATATTAATGTATATAGGATTTAAATATCCATACCTCATATTTAAGGATTGTATTTACAATATTTATTGTTCAGATTAAATTCACTTAATTAAGCATTACTGATCTGATGTAGTTTGTTTCACTATATGATATTTATACCTATCAATTCCTTATTCTTAAAAAAAAAAAAAAAGGAACTTTATTAATCAAGTCTGTTTTATTCTCCAATATTTATTATCTACTGTTTTTTCCTAATTATGAAATATCAATTGAACTTGTTACATAATTCACATCAATCTGTTATACTTCATTACTCCTTACTTCTTTTCTCCTCTAATCTAAGTATTTTTCTTTACAATTTTAATGGGAACTTTTATAGAGTGGTTCTATAGGAAATGGCACAACTCAAAATCTGAGTTAAGGCCATATGGAATTAACGTATTTAACCTATAGATCCACTCCATCTCTATTTTACCCAGTTCTTTGATGAAGTCTCCTCCTCTCCAATTTTTCTCTAGTTTTCTTAATCCCATAAATGTTAAGCCTTCAGGTTTCTGATTGTGGATTAATTTAAAATGATTTGAGACACTGTGTTGTTCAAAGCCCTTTTGGATTTTATAGATATGTTCTCTTATTCTTATATGTAATGGTCTTGTGGTTCGACCTACATACTTTAATCCGCATGGGCAAATTAATAGATAAATTACATTTTTTGAATAGCAAGTTATGAATTGTTTAATTGGTATCTTTATCTTTTCATTTATAGCTATATCTTTAATTCTTCTTCTATTGCATCCTGATCTCTTGCAAGATGTACACATCCCACAACCATAAAAACCTTTTTCATTTTTACATATAGTTACTGCTTCTTTTTTCTCTTTAAATGAACTTCGAACTAGAGAATTTCTAAGATTCTTTACCCCTCTATAAATAATTTTAGGTTTTGGTGGAAGGATCATTTTCAAGGAGGGATCTTGTAATAAAATCGGCCAATACTTATTTAATATCTTACGTACTTGTTGATTATTAGTATTGAAATTGCATATGAAGGGGATATCTCGAGTATCATCAGTATTTTTAGATTAATAGTATTGAAATTGCATATGAAGGGGATATCTCGAGTATCATCAGTATTTTTATGCTACGGCCTGGAGACAGTGGGCCAATTGGTGCTTGGAACAATCGTTGGATCCTGTATCAGCCCCTGTGAAATCGGTGTTGGACTTCCTGACACATCTGTTCGAATCAGGCAAGGCCTTTCGCACCGTCAACTTATTCTGTTCCACCTTCTCAGCTGGACATGAGCACGTGGATGGGCTCCCACTCGGACAGAATCCCTTAGTCTGTCGTCTACTTAAGGGTGTTCGTTTCTCACGTCCTCCTACATCCAGATATGGATCCTTCTGGGATGTCAACTCCGTGTTCAGACTCCTAGATGGCTGGCCCTCTAACTTAGAGTTGTCTTTTAAACAATTATCGGCAAAATTGCTTATGCTGTTCTGCCTATTATCCTGTAAACGGGTGTCAGACGTCAGAGCCTTGGAATGGCAGGCCCGCACGTTCACTCCGGAGGGAGTGTCATTCGATATCTCACGGAGAACAAAATCAGCAACTAAACAGGTTTTTTACCTGAGAATCACGAGTTTATCCAATCTATGCCCAATATCGTGCCTAAAAGAATACAAATCTCGCACCTCTACTCTACGGCCATCTAATGACGGACCGCTGTTCATCTCACTGAAGAAACCACATCTACCTGTATCTACTCCAACACTCGCACGTTGGGTCAAATGGCTTTTGGCTACGGCCGGGATCGATGTCTCGGTGTTCTCATCCCACTACGTTGGGGGCGCTATGGCTTCTAAAGCATCGGCAGCTGGATGTCGCTTGGAAGACATTTTGAAGGCTGCAGATTGGTCTACGGAATCCACATTCTGGAACTTTTACTTTAGACCTATACAACCATTTTTCTGATAAGATTATAGCTCAGCTTTGAAATAGCATAATAGGAGCCTCCATGTCTTTAATAAAATTCCAAGATTTTACTATTAACATGACGTAAAGTCATGATTTTATTAATGACACTGAGGCGAGTATTATTCCCTCCCTGGGTTGGAGTTGGTGGGATTTTCAGACCAGGCAGGATTAGATTGAGTCACCTATCCTCATAGCATACAGGGCGGGTCTCCCCGGCCTTTATTGTCAGATTTGTATGTCTAGACTAGATTATACGTTAAGTTCTGTATGTTATTTTGATGTCAGGAGGTTATGACGTTGATTTTATCCTGATCTAGATAACGATATTTATGCTGGAGTATGTTACAACCAGTTATCAATCGAGATTTTACCATATTTCTCCTCTGTTTTAGCCTGAATTCCCATGTCGGAGTGATCGAAAAGGTTTAAAGGTCATTTTCCCCTAGGAAGGGATGTACGACTTTCTGAGGTTACAGTTCCGGTTCAGAATTTTTGTTCGGTTTTGACTGGTCTTCGGATCGCTACAGAAAGAGGAAGAGAGTGCTACACCTTATATACTGAAAGGGGGTGGTTACTGATTAGTAGCACTGTTGAATATGTTAATGATATGCTATTTTTTTCTCTTTTACATTCATTTCTCTATTCGCTGCTGAGGGAAAATTAAAGAAAGAGAAGCATAATACTTGCCTCCGTGTCATTAATAAAATCATGACTTTACATCATGTTAATAGTAAAATCTTGGAATTTCTCATAGCTCTTTAAAGGGAATTCGATAAGGTGTCCCCTACCCTCATCAATTGATTAAATAATAAAACCACTAATGTTTTCAACAGCATACCAATATATTTTGGACAATGCTATGCTTCCAACTTTTTGGGGAAAGACCATTTCTATTACAGCATGACGGTGCCCCAATGCATAAACCAAGATCCATAAAGACATGGTTGGATGAGTTTAACGTGCAAGAACTTGACTGGCCGGCACAGAGACCAGATCTCAACCCCACTGAACACCTTTGGGCTGAACTGGAATGGAGATTCTGAGCCAGGCTTTCTCATTCAACATTGGTGCCTGTCCTCACAAATGATCTACTGGATGAATAGGCAAAAATACCCCCAGAAACACTCCAAAATGTTGTGGAAAGCCTTTCCAGAACAGTGGAAGCTGTTAGAGCTGCAAATGGGTACTAACTGCATTCTAATGGCTATGTATTTAGAATTTAATGTCATTCTAAGTATGTAGAAAGTCCCTGTGGGTGTAATGGTCAGGTGTCCAGATACTTTTGCCCATATAGTGTATATACACATTATTTTCAGAGCTCCATTTCGAGCCCTAAACCTCTAACCAAGCCCAAATGGTACTATCCAATGGGTTTTTGATGTTTAATAGGAAAACAGCAGCTGAGGCATATCCAGGCACAGGAAAACTTCTGTGTCTTCTCCATATTCGGCAGCCACTTGTGTTGTGGGGCTTTGAGAGGGAAACACTTGGTGGCTTTTTCTTGGAGGCTCCAGGGTCAACTACTGCGGTGGGCAGTAGAGTTATTTAATAGCTCTTTTCCATAGCCCATTGGTTACTGGTTGAGTGGAAATGTCAAGCCACGTGAATTTGCTGACAAATTTACCAGTACAATGTACAGATTATTCCTACCTTGTACACTTAATGGATATAATAGGCACCAAAACAACTTTAGTTTAATGGAGTGGTTTTGGTGTATAGATCATGCCCCTGAAGTTTCACTGCTTAATTCACTGCCATTAAGGAGTTAAATCACTGTGTATCTTCAGACTTTCCCTGCTCTCAGCCCAAGAGTGATGCAACAATGTCATTCAAAGCTAAAGCTTTTGAATGTGACAGGTGTCTCAAAGTGATGCATGTCCCTTTACCCCCTTCTCTCCCAAACCCATGAATACATTGGTCATTCATTGCAATGAAAAATTTAATATTTAAAAAAAAAATATATATATTAATATCTTGGAATATGAAAACTCTTGAATACAGAGAAAAAACAAAACAATGTTTTTCGGTTATGCCCCACACGTTGCAGAAAAGTTTTTGCTCACTTGTGCCGCTACAAAAAAAAACAAAAAAAAACTTGTTATAGTAAGAAAATTTCTCCATAGCTTTTCCAACACCATGTACATGTCAGACAGATCTCACCCATAAGGGCAATCCAGATATGAAATGCAGACAAGTTCCCTATGCATGAGATACAGCAACCCAGATTGCTTCTTAGGGTTTCAAACTCTAAGCACAGTAGGCCTTTATACCAAGTCAAGGTCAAGTAGACCAAGAAAGATTTCAGCCAAGACTGCCAGAAGAATTGTTCGGGATACAAAAAAAAAAGAAGACACAGGTAACATCAGGAGTAATACAGGCTGCTCTACAAAAAGACAATGTGGTTGTTTAAAGATTCTGGCACACTGTAATTTGGAGTGTCAAGACCAAAATAGAGCTTTATGGTCACAACCATAAGCGCTATGTTTGGAGAGGGGTCAACAAAGCCTATAGTGAAAGGAATATCATACCCACTGTGAAGCATGGTAGTGACTCACTGAAGTTTTCAGGGGGTGGGGTGAGCTCTAAAGGCATGGGAAATCTTGTGAAAATTGATGGAGATGATTGCAGCATGTTATTAGAAAATACTAGCAGACAATTTGCATTCTTCTGCACAAAGGCTGCGCATGGGACGTTCTTGGACATTCCAGCATGACAATGACCATAAGCACAAGGCCAAGTTGACCCTTCCGTGGTTACATCAGAAAAAAGTTGAAGGTTCTTAAGTGGCCATCACAGTCTCCTGACCTTAATCTCATTGAGCCACTCTGGGGAGATCCTAAACATGCGGTTCATGCAAGACGACCAAAGACTTTGCATGACCTGGAGGCATCTTGCCAAGACGAATGGGCAGCTATACCACCTGCAATAATTAGGGGCCTCTTAGACAACTATTATAAAAGACTGCACGCTGTCATTGATGCAATACACAGAATTAAGAATTAGGGTATGCAGACATTTGAACAGGGGACATTTAATGTTTTTCTTTGTTGCCATGTTTTGTTTTGATTGTGCCATTCTGTTATAACCTACAGTTGAATATGAATCCCATAAGTAATACAAGAATTGTGTTTTGCCTGCTCACTTATGATTTCTTTAAAAATTGCACATATGTATATGTATGTATGTATATATATATATATATATATATATATATATATATATATGACCAATTATCCAAGGGTATGCAAACTTTTGAGCACAATTGTATGTAATAAACTTTTATAAACCTATTATAAACTTGGCCACATTGCATCATTGGGCATGTACCTCAGCTAGCGGAGTTTCTTCAGCCAACCTTTCTTCAGACTTACCTATCTCCGTTTCAGACCATTCCACTAATAACAGAAACAGGGCATTATTGTGCAGTAGTAGGAGAAAGAAATAAGACACCACAGCCTGCACTGCATAAATCACACTGATCAGACTGCTTCTCTTATCCCCCCTAGCTCCCCTCAGAGAATGTGTAAATCTGTCAGGCATGCCCAATGCACCTGTCCATCATTCTTAGGGATAGGACATGGATTGGTAAGATCAGTGCCCCTGTGGAGTGGATGTGGATAGCATAAGAAAATAGAAGCCGGTAAATATAAAAAACAAATAAATCATGTTTACCTGCTTTTATCCAGCCTGCAGAGTAAGTAACGGTCTCATTCAAAGCTACATTTATTGAATAAGACAGTTGTCTCAAAATGATACATGGTCCTTTAAATACACAATTAAGTTTTTATTTTTCCTTGTAAAAGACACATAGTACAATTTCTTATACATTTAGTCTACTTGCTTACAAAGCTATATTGACTTCTTCTGATCTATATATGTATCTGATTTTAAAAGTAATTGAATAGTCCATGGGGGAAAAAAATCAGGCTCAATGTAATAAAAAATAAGAGCGGTTCAGTTCCAATCTAATAAATATTTTGTATGCAAGAAATCCTCGGATATCACATTGAACAGAACATTTCTATGGTAATAAAACTCAAATCAACATTTTGTATCACTGACCAATGTGGCCAGTAGACATCATGTTAATTTAAATTTCAATAAGATAAAAAAAAGAAATACCAGTGTCCATCCAGAATAACGTTTTTTTATTGGATGATTAATTTAAGTACAGTTACATTTTTAATTTTTTTATTTTAGCACTTAAAAATTAAAGTGTAGAAATGAAAATAAGATACATGTAAATTGACTAAATATTTGGTTATTTCCTATAAATAAAGGGTTAAACACACACTGATCCTTGCTGAATATATTGTGACACCATCCTATTGTATTGCAGAGAACAGTGGTTCACATCATATTATACAGGCCTGCAGTGCTGATATGTCACAGAAATGTTGTTACACAATGGATAAAATCACTGACACAGCCCACTGGGGGAAAATGCTGAAGCTGGCTGTACAAAAAACACAGCAGATGTTGTCTGGTTTACAAAAAATATTCTGCACTGATACATTTCAAGTCTTCCAGAATATGGACTTAGATTCTGCTATCAACGTAAACGTCCTACCTATAGATGATGCACTTAGTAAGGCTTGTAATTCAATTACCCTTAGTCACCAGAAGGCTCAAAAGAATTGTAGCCTAACATGAGTTGAATGGTAACAGATTTGTCCCCAATCCAGCTGTGGGGCAACAGGATAACCAGAAGCATTTATGGTTGATGTTTACCTATCAGACATGCTAAAATAACATACATCACACTGAAAGAAAGTGAGTGCTATTCAGTCTGTGATCACAGTGTGAGAAGGTTCACAATAGTTATACTTCAGCCAATGAGATTTACTGTGGAGTCTGCATATTTTATTAAATGGAAATATGACTACCAGTACTTGTATTAGAACATCTTTCATTTTCATTCGCTGGATTTGTCTCTTCCAACAGGGCAGTTTAAACGTGCTCCCTAAGGACACCCTAAAATAAAAACCAAAATAAAATACCTAAAAGGAAAAATTAACCATAATGCCATTCCCCAAGGTTCTTTTTAATGTTATTTTTGTTTGCGTACTAGCAACATCAAAGGTCTCTTAATAAGTATTACCCTCTTCCACATGTAACTCATTGGAAAAGGCAATCTCTACTTATTATAGCCAAATCAAGTTATTTCTGGTATGTCATACCAGATTACAGAACAAATATCCTCTTACCAAATAAACAAAACCTTAAAGCAAAATGAAAGTCAACAATAAAGACATGCTAGTTACAAAAGTAATAATTAACCTTATTACTGCCAGATGGTGGTGTGATGCACAGCAAAGCAACAGCTTACAATCCACCATGGCAGACAGGGTTGGAACAAACAGAATTTCAAAGAATTAGAGCAGATCTAGTATTCCCATTCGCAATCAATGTTGTATTAACACTCAAGTCTTGTACTGCATAGCTAGTGTAAGTAATCGCCGACTCTGGCAAACGCACAGGAAGCAATGCCGGACTGCGCCATCACCTCTAAGCATTGGGCGGCCTGTTCTAACGCCAGCGAGAGAGGTGGCTGCTTTGGCAGGTTGTGTATGTCTATGGGATAAAACAAAACACATTATTTTACCATGACAATATTAAAATATATTAGGTAGCAACTTACATTTTAATTTCTAGTAAATTACTTCAAAACAGCATTATTTAATAGTTGGGAAACTGATAACAGTTCTGTGCTCTTAAAATATGTAAATGTGGGGGTTTGTTTCTGTGGTTTAAAATCAGTTTTGGCTTTTTGTACGATGCTTTATCTTATGTAAAAGTCCACATGTTCTACTGTATAAATTAAAATGGGCACTCTGCACATTAAGTACAGAGAATATGTGTACACTGTGTGTAGAAAATGTAAGATACACAGATCTTTATCACCATTACCACTGTAGTGAGATGCAGAAGTTATGGTGTTTAGATTGTTCCTTTGATTAATCACTTTGGCTGAATAACTTAGGCTTCTAAATAGTATGCAATATCCATGTACAGCCATACAGTGGATTACAGTAGTTTATATCATACTCTGCTAGTATTTTGTAAACATTTTTTGTAGGACATATATTTAGAAATGGATGTGTGTCTGAAATATATTTTGGTACAGAAGATTAAAAAAATGTAATAAAGGATACATTTCCTATAATGGAGGCTAAAAAAGGCCATTCACAGTCTCAAAACATGATTTTTTATGAAGCATAAACTATGGAAATTGTGAGATTTTTCAAACTGAGTGATCATGAAATTCAACTACTGAAATTACTTTCTCTCTAGATGTTCTTGATTATATATTGGGGCACTCTGCAGCCCAGAAAACAGTACAATAGCATTTACTGCTGTGCGGGAAAGAGGCTGTAATACCATACAGACAGCATAAAGGTAATTTTTGGAAGTTTAAAGGTTGTTGGGAGTTATCTGCATATCACAGATGGGAATGATTGCACAAGGGCTAGAACGGGTTCTAAGCCCAAAGATAAGAAAGCATACATATGAAATTCAGCCAAAAACCATTGTGACAAAAAAAAAAGCTCAAGCAGTGCAAATGTTCATTAAATGTTAACCTTTATTGCATCACAGTTGAAATTGTGGCTGGGGCCAGCAGTAGGGGGAGAGATACCACCATAATAACACTAATGTGTTTTGTGCCTCAACTGCACTTCAGAGACAATCTCGTTGCCTCTGCTAAAAAAAATAAATGTTTCCAAACGTTTGTGTGCAGGTGAAAGACTCTAAACGTTACCAAATTGCAACTTACCTAGAATTGCACTGTTAAGAGATGAGCAAACATGCTCTCTCTGTATTGGATCAAGCTGGTAGCCAACTGGGCTATTCCAAGGATCAGAATATGCAAGTAAACTAAATGCATCCTGTTAAAGATAGAAAACAAACAGTAACAATTACAGATTATAAAAAAAAAGTTATTTGAGTATATCCCTTAGTATTCTGACTGCCTATACATTGTGCAGCCTTCCTTACATATTTTGTGTCAACTTACGACAGACTCCTTTCTACATAGATTAAAATAGTAGCAGTTAACCAATCTGGAGATACATCATTAGTACTGAAATGTTAAATAATAGTTCAAATTAATGTTATCAAATGTTCAATATTAGGACTGCTTTTTATTAGACGTGTTTTCTTGGAGCTCCTGCCAGCATAACTCTTACACTTACCTAAATCGAACAGAATAGCAGCAGAATACCCCAAGACCAGCACAAAAGGCACCTCTACCGACGGGGACAGAGAGGAACCCCATAACTTGGGATTTTGCCACTTTGAATCTGCTATCTGGCCCTGCGGCCTTCCGAGACTGTGGACCCGACGGCTGGAGGAGGCGGACTATCTCCCACCTGGGACCAAGCATTCTGAAGTGCAGCTAATTAAGCCCCGCTAACACCCCCCTTTAGACCGGTGGGGGTTATCCCGGTCCCCACTGGACACACTAACGAACAGTCTGATATCCACTGTACCTAAAGCCCGCGTGGCTAACCTAAAATGGCCACTGCACCAAGGCCCTCACCGCAGACAGCCAGCCCAGAGAGCCGGGAATGGTTACAGCACTTCGAACAAAGCTTTGACAAAGTGTGCAGCGACTTCTGGGTCCGGAGAGCCACATGCTCCCATACACCCCCCCCCCCACAACTACCACGCTCCACATCTACCCGCAGCGAGGCAATACTTAGCCGAGACGCAAAGGGCGACAACCGCAGGCGGAACAGGCAGCGGGTGCCTCGTAAAGATCATCGCTGCCGAACTTCTGGACCTCCGGTGAGCACACAACTCGCTCACACCTGTGGGGGGCACTCGCCAATCGTGATATGAACACGCCTGGATGCAGACTCCAGACTCAGGTCCGGTATGTGGCTCGTTGAGAGATGTGTGAGGCGGCTAGATGGGACCGTGCTCCGGCCTGGAGTTGGTGGGAAGAAGCTAAGTGAACACTCTTCATGGGACATTATCTGTCGGGCATAGGCTGAACCAGAAGCTCAGATACCGCAATTTAGCAGTTACTGGGACTCAAGCTGTCTCCATTATTGCCTTACACAGTGGTACTAGTTTCTCATATTTTATTTATGTTAGACAGGCGTTTTAGCTTCTAACCAGTGGCATAATAGCATGTTGTTTTAGCCAGTTGTCATTGACAAAGTATAACCTTGACCAGCAGTTTCACATATTGTGGCCTAACCACTACTCATACTTAGCTAGCATGCACCACGCCTGTATTAGTCTATTACACGCTAGTTATAACTTCGAGGCATGCTATTATTATTATTCTATGTTGACCAAAAATGCCAGCCTTCATAACCTTATAGAATTACTCTCGCCTACTCATATTCTGGCATGAAGTGAATTAACCTGTTTACTTATTTTAAAATGTGCAGTTCAATCTTATGTCATGATGCTCAATGCTTTGAATTGCCCGAGACTGCTGTCGTGAAACTGCAGGCCTGTTTGTAACCCATTTGACACAACAAAAATAAAGAAGATTAAAAAAAAATTAAAAATATTATATTATAGAAATATCAAATATAAACCGTTTACAATATTGTACGTACATATTTTAAGAGACATATACATGTTCATATCCATTTTTCCCAATACTGATATAAAAAAAACAAAGAAACAAACACTTAAAAGCAGACGTAGCACAAGAAGGTGCAGGGAAACTTCTTTATTTTGTACAGGGTCTTAGCCCAATCTTTTCTACACTCTACACTCCCTGCTTCATGGTGCCCAGAAAAGAAAAATATATATTATATAAAGATACATCTACCGTCTTTTAATATTTTTTGTCAGGAACTATTCTAAAATTCATCTTTCTCAAAGATGTTTAACCAGTCTCTCCAAGAAGTATATTAATTTTTATTCTAGTTTGTTTGACCTTCCATAGCGCATTGGGTAGTAATCCGTGCTTTAATCTCAGGCCATAGTGGCACCTTGGGGGATTTCAATTCCTTGCAGTGAGCAATTTGACAGCTGTCAAAATATGAAAGATTATCTTCCATTACATCTTTTTTTGTTTAGGAAGGTTTAAATGAAGGAGAGCCCTTTCGAGGTTTGATTCCCAATTGGGTTCAAACCAGTTAATTAACCTTTGAGATACATCTATCCACACTAATTTTATATTTAAACACATCAACCAAATATGCAAAAAAATCTCCCTTCACCAAACCACATCTCCACCAATTATGTGAGACAGTTGCGTATATTTTGTTAAGGATTGATGGGACCCTATACAAACAGTTTGCAAGTTTATATTGTACCTTTTAAGATTCAAACAATGTACTGCCTTGTAGAAAACAACCACAGAGCAGAGGGCGGAGCGATGACGTGACGACGCACGCGGGTCACGTCCCGCGGATGGTGAAGGGAAGGAAACAAGGGAGTAAGGACAAAAGCCGCAAGATACCCGGAGCTGGGAGACCATGGCGGCAGACAAACAAATAGTGATCCGATAGTACGGGAGGCTTTTGCGGCTGGCTAAGTCGAGAAATGCAGGAAAAACCGAGCATAAAATGAATTCAATACTCTATGTAGGAACAGCAAACTGAAAGCGACAGCACAAAGGATTGCAAACACAGCGGAACGCAAGTACAAAAGACAAGTATTTTGCACTGTATATATATATATATATATAGATAATTTATATGTATCTGGCTGTCGATAAGTTTATGCTGATATAAAGAGGGATGAAAGATTTTATTGGAGGAGATGTAAAGGTGTGGTGTATATAAATATACAATCCACATATGCTCTCGACGTTTGAAAACCTGTTGGTATTTGGAGTAAATTGAGCAATCTCCTACCGCATGCAATTTCAAGGAGGGGTCAAGAGGAAAACTATTTAAATTTAAGCTACCATATACCTTGATGCTATCTGGATTATTTACACTCTCTAATGTTTATACGCTGATTATGTATACAAGCTGAGTATGGTGGGTATATGCCTGGAAGTCGAAACAGACTGTATGGACCCAAAAATTAAGCACAAGAGAAGGAGAATTATATATATATATATATATATATATATATATATAAAAAAATTTGTGTGTTTCTTCTCATTCCGTTTTTTATTGCCGTATGAGTGAGCAATAATGGCAAACAAAAAAAGTGAACCCAAGCTGGGAAATAAAAGAGAGAAAAAGACAGATCAAAGAATTGAAAAAAGACTATCAAATTATTTTTCACCTCAAGATAAAGATAATATGGAGAGGAGAATTAGTCTAAATGAAATAGACTCTTATAAGAAGGATACAATCCAGCCTGCGACTCAAAGGAATCCTGAGCAAGACAACATGGATTGCTCACAAAAGGATCCATGTTTGATTGGTAAAGAACATCTGAATGCATGTTTACAAAAGCAATTAGAAAATATAAAGAAAGATACACCTAATGATGGATGACTTTAAATTGGAGATATCCAAAATAACGGCAAAAGTTAATTCAATCGAAGATCAAATTGAGCATTCAAAAGTACAACAAGGGCTACAGGAAGAAAAGATCTTACAGATGGAAAAGAAAATTGCGTTATTGGAAGTCAGGATTACCGATAATGAAGATAGAGCAAGGAGAAATAATATCAGAATAAGAGGAATCCAGAAGAAGTGACACCAGGAGGGCTGGACGACGATTTAAAGCAGCATTGTCATGCCGAACTTACCTTTCCTCAATCTCTTCCTCTTCTCCCCCTCTCTCAGGATCTGTTCTTCTTTTCTTCCTGTCGTCTTTAGTTTTCTTTAAAATCATAAGACAAAGTAGGGACTCTTTGCCTTATGGAGGATTCCTCTGCTTGACCAGGTCTGACCAGTGGAGGAGCAAAGTGTGCTTCATTTCCGGTAGTCAGAGCAATTTTCCCATGATCCTTACCTTTCCTCTGTGTTCCCGCGATGCTTCCTGTCATTTTACACACAACTGACGAATTGCGTTCTAACTGAATGAGAACAGTATGTTCGTTTCTTTTAGAACGCAATTCGGCATTTTATTCAGATCGGAATTTCATTCGAATGAATGAAACTCCGATCCTATTCTTGCTGTGGCTGCATCTTGCAGCCGCTTAGTAGATAACTCCCTAATTCCCACGGTTTCAGGGAGTTATCTACTAAAAGGCTGAAAGACCTAAATTGGTCTTTCAGCCACATTTACTAATACTAAAATTCCAAAGAACTTTCCCACGCTGTGTAAAATGACACAGAGCACTGTGATTGGATGGCTTGAAATCCATCCAATCACAGTGCTTTGTGTCATTTTACACAGCGTGGGAAAATTCCAAAGACTACTCTTGTAAACAATTACTATTCGAACAATTATTAAAAAACCAAAATACTAAAAAAAAACTGGTTTCAAAATGCTTTAATTTAATTGAAAAAGATCCAGAAAATATTATTTGTAATAAATAAATGGGAAAAAGATCTCAGTAATAACAAACTATGAAGAATGGAAAAGGGTGTTAAATCTGCTCACCAAGAACGTACATTGTCTTAACCTAGTGGAACTTCAGTACAAAATTATGAATAGGTGGTATTTAACACCAAATAGGCTAGCTAAAATGTACATAGATGCCTCAAATAAATGTTGGCGCTGTGGGGTTCAAAAGGCAGGAATGATGCATATTTGGTGGGAGTGTGGATCAATTAATTTGTATTGGATAATGATAGCATTAAAGCACTGACTAATATTAAGTTTGATATAAAGCCAGATATTTTTTTGTTGCAACTGTATATAATTCAGAATTTTAGCCAATATGCTACATTGGTAATACATATTTTGCTAGCAGCTAAAATACTAATTGCCAGAAACTGGAAATCTATTAAAGTTCCAGTATGGGAGGAAGTTAAAGTACAAGTGATTTACCAGATAAAAATGGAGATCGGTATGATACAGCAACTTTAAAGCTTGTATCAAATATATTCTGTAAGATAGGAATGAAGCAACATGACATTGCTTACATTGATTTAAAGGTATTTTATTGTCTAAAAGAATTTAGAAGGATATTAGAAACTTATCCCGGCTCCCCTACTCTCTTTGCTGGAAATATTGTTAGGTGTCTTTTCGTGTGTTATATTATATTATGAATAGAAAAATAAACTGTTTTCTCCCTATATGAATCAGAACTAGACACTGTATTAATATATATAACTAGAGATCCATGTTAGGGATATTAATAAAATCTGAATAATATAATATTTAATGTGTTTATGTTTAATGTAATGTATCAAGTCTTGTTTTTTTTATAACAATAAAAGTAAAATATTAAACATGAAAAATAAAAAAAAATAAAAGAAAAAACAACCAGAGAGCGATTTCATTTATCTAGATCTATCTTGATGAAGCTATTTTAATACAGGTATAGATGTACACAAATAAAACCATTTCAAAAATGAAAAACAAATAACTTTTCCATTCATTCATTTATGTAGCTATTTTCCACAGCAATATTAAACCTGGTATGGGAATATATTCTATATATGGGGCATTATAATTTTAGATTTTTTTTTAGATCAAAATGTTAAGAAGGGACTTGAAAGGGAACTAATTATGTAAAAGATGCCCAGATGGTCTAGGCCAGATACCCACATGCTCATTTATAGAAGACATATTGACAAGTGCACAATGACAAGTAAATATAAAACATTTAAACCATTTTTTGATATTGAAAATTATGCAACTTTACTGGCAGGGTAGAGGGGGTGTCACGGGTAAATGTTGAACGTTCTGCACCATCTCAGTGCTGGCAAAGCAGTTCTAAGATAGTCAGACACAGGATGTAATGGCAGTGTATAATGTATAATGTACCTTTAGCATGTTTTTATTTGTAGAGTTTTTCCCACGTTCTCTTCTTAGTTGCTCACTCATAGCCTGTAGCTCTCTCCCAAAACAGATCATTCGTTCAACTGCAGCCTGGCTCCCTCCACACAGCTGCCGTCTGACTTGGGACGTGTCAACTTCTGTAACCACAATGCAAATGTTACCAACAGAAATGAAATGACTGAAAAAAAATAAAAATAATGGTTGGCTTCCATAGCTTAATGTATCTATGCATGACTATTTATCTGCATTATTTTTTCAATTGGCATTTTTCTGATATTGTTTTATATGTATAGACATTTTGTGTACATACATTTGAACACTTCAAACATATTTAAGCATCACTGTCACTTTCTTACAATCAATAGTCTACAGAAAGTGACTTTTGTTCCCATCTTTACATTATTTGCTACATTTTCTATTGATAAAAAGGTAATTGCAAACCCATTTCAGTGTCACATTCCAAAGGATGTTCGTTCTTTGAGCTGCCGTTTAGAAAGCCGTTGGATGAGGTTGCTGTAAAACCATTCGAAAAATGGTCGGTCTCCATGTCTACATCACTGCAGAGTAAAGAAATAATTTGGTTAGTCATTTTATTAAAAGCTCCACCTTACAAACAGTCATTACATACAATTTAATAAATTACTTGTTTATGAAGAAATGTCACATGAGGAGCATTATTTAGCCTTTTGAGAATTTTAAACTATTATTTACAATGCAGATGGGCACAATCAATCAGGAGGATTTGTGAAGACAAGTAAATCCTAACACTTTTCTACAACTTCCACTGCTAAGATACTGTATGCTTGTGTTTGTAGGTATGTCTGGAAAAACGATATAATTGACAGTGTATTCAATTGCAAAATATATTAAGGGAAATTCAATATTTCAAATATGTTAGGTTTAGGTTTATTTTTTGAATGTAACATATATCTAGGCTCAAAATGCCCATTAGCCATAGGCGAGTGAAAATTCAGCACTGCCAAGTAAGGCCTGACTTGTAGTGTAGAACTTGAAAATGTAGAGTTACAATATATGTATATTATATATATAATTAGACAATTACTCCAAATACCACATAATGAAGTTGGGTTATTAATATTACATTGAAAGAAATGCTGGTGCATAATACATGCTGGGCTGCAAAGATCTATTGCTATTGAACTGTCACATTTCTATAAAAAGAGTTTCACCGATGAATAATTAGTCTGTAAAATTATTCTTTATGATTGAAGGATATTGCATATGACTATATACATTATTATTTTTTTGTAAATCTTTATTTTTGGATGTGCGCAAATTAACGAAGAGTCTCGCACTGCCACAATAGCTCGTACAAGAGCGTTGAATAACACAAAAAATACCACGTTGCTTAATGAGATGTACATTCAAGAATGTTGCGTTATATGGCATTTTTGATGGTTCTGCACAATTTTACAATAGGTTAGAGATATCAAGATAGGTAAACTGTCTGAGAACACATTAGTAGGAAGTAGATTAAGCTGGAGTTGCTGGCTATTCTGGTATGCCTAGTTATTAGATACAAAGCAGGCCTGTCCTAACAGTCTTAGGTATACAAGTCAAATGTATATTAGAACTGCAGTTAGGTTTGACTAGGTATGTAGGCATAAGATTAGATAAACTAGGAACTGTGCTAGACTGTGCCATTCAGAAATAAGTGTAAGGATCAAATACATACAAGATATATAAACCATTGAGTCCCCACATACCCTTTTGCTACTGGGGCTGCAGCTTAAAGTAAGCCCTGCACCGTTTATACTTGTAGAATAAAATAATGATAAGGTAAGAACTCAAAGGCTAATGACTATATACAATATTAACAAAATTTTTGTAAATGATGATATTGTGTATTATCTATCAATAAAGGTGGCTGCACATTGCAGGGAGAGGTGAAAGCTTCTCCTGTCTCTTCCTGTACAAGTAATCATGGTATTATAAGCCTTAGTAGCAGAAATAGACTGAGTGAGTCAGCAATGTAGCAGATGCAGCTGGGTCCTGTGATAAAGCAATGCAGCTCTGCCAGACTAGCACACACGCACAAAAAGTCACTCTAGGCAGCCTTCATTATCAGATACTTGACTAACAGTAAGGTTTTCTTACCTGGTATAGCTGTTAATCTGCTGTGATATGGTCATGTTTATGCTGTTCAGCTCAGTTACATTAAGGCTAGAAGGCTGGTGCTTAATACGACAGTTGGACTGATGAGCTTTATTTGATATCAAGCCATTACTGCAATTGCCATCAGGAACTGAGAAAGAAAAAAATAAAGCTTTGTAAGTCCTCGGAAAACATAATTCACCAGGGATGTCTGCTACAGACTAACTGAATACAAAATATTAAATGCCCTGCTAATCAATGCCACCTATTTCCTGTTTCTAACATTCCAAATGGCTAGAGAAGGACATTTATTTCAATACAATCTATAAAAAATAGCATATACTTAAATGGGCACCGTAGTTTCAGGAGCACAAACGTGTATTCCTGACACTATAGTTCTAAAACCACCATTTAGGTGGTCAGCCCCCTTACCTTAGGTTAAAAAGATGATTTACTCACTGTTTTTCCAGTGCCGCGTGGGGCTCCAGATCTGTCTACTTGGCTGACATCACCATAATTGATGATCTCATCTAAGGAAGTCGGCTGGGGTGATTGCCCTGGCCAATTAGCACCTCCTCATTGAGATGCATTGAATCAATGAATCTATATGGGAAAAGTTCAATGTCTCCATACAGAGGGTGGAGACACAGAACGTCAGCACTAACCCAGGAAGCACCTCTAGTGGCCATCTGAGGAGTGGCCAGTGGAAGTATCTCTAGGCTGTAATGTGCCTTTTCTCTTAAAAGTCAATGTTTACATTAAAATGCTTGCAGGGACTGATATAAGCTGTAGTTGTTCTGGTGACTATAGTGTCCCTTTAATGTAAGTCAATACACCATATTGTAAAAAGTAAAATTCATGTGATAAATATGGTCCCAGTCTGTAATACAGTACAGTGTACAAAACATGCAAAAATAGTACAATCAATGTAACTTACAGAGTATACTGCTGTGCGTGTATACCAAAGAAGGGCATTAGTGCTAAAACATAGGGGGTCCTGCAAACAATGCATTCAAAGAGATTACAAAATTCAGGCTAAAAATAGCCAAGCTGGAACAGCTATTTCGACCCACATTTTGTAAATTGGTTTTCAATTAATTGTTTGATAAATTAAACCCTAAATGGATTATAAACACCTGTATTGTTATTGACACAAGGGTATATATATCACCTAAAGGGTTACTCCAAAATTAAGACTGTCTTATTGGGCATTAGTAATTAGCGACCCCCCCACAAGTTTTAACTTACCTGGAATCCAGCACTGGGCGAAGCTTCCCTCACTGGCTTCCACACCCTGTCCGACATCATTGCTTCTCTCTCCGTGATCCAATCAAAAGCTTCATAGAGAAACCTTTGATTGGATGCACGCACTCTGAGCCGTGAGGTGAATGGGGTGGGGACAGATGGAGGACGAGGGAGGGAGGGAATATAAAAACAAAACAAATAAATAGACGAAACATAAGATATATATGTGGTGCAGAAGGCTCAAATGAGAGAGGGAAGGGAGATTCATTATATCGGTCACATGTGCGAACTGCACACTGGCTAAAGACATACTATTTGTACAGAATTGCACGAGGCAGCCCAGAACAGAGTGTCGTGCTGTCAAAATCACCTGTGACTAGCCCCCAACACAAAACTGAAAATATGTTCAACGTTTCAAACAGAAATACTACACGTGCAAATTCCTTCTTCCATGACTTTTAAAAGTAGAAGTAATCATGGAGGTTGGAGTAACTCTTTAGTAGACATTGCCCTTCAGTTATTAGTTTGTGTACTCTGGTTATTTTAGAGAATATAAAGGAAAACGATCAGGTCCTCTGGCATTTAAACGAGCCTCAGTCAGGAATACACACTGACTGAAGATCACATTGCTTTGCTTAGCAGCGCATTCATGTTGTGATAACATCAGCAGTTATCGCCAAACAAACTAGTATGATCTTTGGTCAGTTATGCAATACTTCCAAAAGGATCACTAAGTGGGTGAGCACTCCATGGGACTTAACAGTTTTTCTTTAATAGGTAAAAGAGCAAGAGGATGCAAACTACTAGAATCACTTATTTTTTTTGTAGAATATATGTGAAAGAAAAAAAAAGTAAAAACGGCGCTAAAAATATAACCTTCCCAGGTGCTGCCCATAAACCTGCCCAGATCCCAACTCAAGTCTCTAAAAACACTTTACCTCTTCGAATGGAGGAAGGACACCCTTTCCTACTTAGGCACACAATTACCGCCCTCAAAACACAAGCTCATAAAGCACAACCATGGGAAACTAATGGTGGACACAGAGCGGCTGTTGGAGAGCTGGGGCAATAAAAATACATCCTGGCTAGGGCGTATTAATGCCATTAAAATTGTCATCCTCCCACAGATTCTATTCCTTTTCAGAGCCATACCGATTAGCCTTCCTAAGTACCGGGCATTCCAGAGCCTCTTTAATGCGCACATCTGGAAACAAAAACACCCAGGGTATCTCTAGCAATCAGCATGATTATGGGAGGGGTGGCGTAGGAGTACCCCACATAACCAAATACTATCTAGCGACAAATCTTTCCCAAACCGCACGTCTCCTGACCTCCTTAGACTACCCAATGTGGTATAACCTGGAGAGTGAGCTCAGCGCACCACATTCCCTCGGTGATCTGCTATGGATCCCCGCCAAGGCCCAACCTCGTCATTCCAAAGCCCTCACGACGACAATATGGTCACTCCAGCTGTGGCTAAGATGGGCCCCAAAAATGTTCAGTGGGAACATAGAGGCCCTCGCCCCACTGACTAGTCTCCAGTGCCACACTCACGACCTCCCCCTGCAGTGATGGATAGAAAAAGGGGTGACCAGAATATCACATCTCCTGGGAATTGAGGGGCTGTTACCATTCCCTGACCTCCAGAGGAAATACCTTCTCCCTAACAGCGAAAAATTCACATACCCCCGGTATAAAGCATATAGTAGGAGACGTTAAAAAAAAAAATAACAACCCCACTATAAATTTGATATGTTATGCCTGGGCCCCAAAAAACCGCCAAAAAACGCTCTACCTGTGTTATCACCACCTACTAGACATAGACAGACCGACAAAACAATCTTATATGTTACAATGGGAAAGGGAGCTGAATTGTACGATTGAGCCGCACAGGTGGGTGGGGCCATGACACTAGTAATAAGGGCTACACACTGTCTAGACCATGTGGAAGCAGCCTACAAGATGTGGCTAAGGTGGTACTATATGCCCCAAAGGTTGGCCCAAATATATCCGGGTACTCAGGCGAAGTGCTGGCGATGCAGCCAACAGGAAGGCACTTTAAGCCACATATTCTGGTACTGCCCTGCACTCAGCCAATACTGGCAACGAATCCAAGACCTGATAAAATCCAAAGTAGGGAAAACCCGGTCACCTACTCCTGAACATTACCTGCTCCATATGCTACCACAAGGTATTACGGCTCACGAAGCATCATTAAATCACCCACATCACACTAGCTGCAAAGCAATGCATAGCTGACTTATGGAAATCCACTCTGGCACCAGACAAAGTCGGTGCTCGCCAAACTGAGCCTTACTTAACAATATGAGAAAATGTCACACACGATCAGCGGTACCCTACTGCACTAGGACGCACCTGGTCCAAATGGTAGGATTGTGATGATACCCGGGTGATGAAAACTAACTTCTGAGGTATGTGCAACAAAGAGCATCTTAACCCCCCCATTCCTAGTTTACTGTCTTCTCCCACCTCGTTCTACACGCCCCCCCCCCCTCAAAAAATTAAGGGCCATTGCTACGTTGGCAAGCACTAAAAACCTGAGACGACTGGTAGTGGAATTAATCCCACAACGTGTGTATCAGCGTAGATCCTCACTGGCAGACGAACACCTGGCTGCTCCGAGGGCCTAGAGAATAAAGATTTAGAGCTCCACCCCGGCACTTACCATGCACACCCGAAAGCCCTCTTCCACAACATCCCAACACACACGCATTACTTCCTACGCCTATTGGGCGCTCAAACCTCCCTACCACCTCCCACAGCAGTTACAGAGTGCATAGCTTATATTAGCAATGTGCAAACGACATCTTGATGTACCGTTTGAATGCCTATATAAATGGTTATTTATCCTTCAAAAACTTGTTACTGTACCTACTCTCTTGTGACTACAACAAAATGTTTGTTACTGTGTGATATTATGATGTTACACCCCCAAATAAAAATTATACATTAAAAAAAAATATATATATATATATATATATATATATATCCTTAATATTTTTAATTTAAAAGCAGCACCTTATAATGTGAGAAACTAACTTATTTATTTGTTCCAAACAAAATACAATTGCCATTGGATAGTCATGATATTTTTAGGAGATTGAAACAAAACACATTTTTTATTTTCTCATTAATTCAATTATGACAGAGCATGGGAAACAAACATAATGTCTGTTATGGATTGACAAGTCAGGCTACCATTGCAAATGTTGCTTTAAATAAAAATTTCCTGTAACAAAAATTATTGAAGGACATACAGTTTCAAGCAAACTGTTCGGGTTATCACATTTGTCAATGCAATATGGGCTAACCAAAAATGTTTGCTTGAAACTGTATGTCCATCAAAAATTTGGGTAGCACTCCTGGTGCACACATCAATGTTGGCTCAGCCTTCATTCTTATCTGTATTCCTCTGGATGTTCACACACGGTTTGAGCTACAGTCTGAGGAGATTGCAAGACAATATATAGTCATTTAAAAAATATATTTTTTAGATACCGCAGTAACCTTTACCTCAGAAGTATATTTTTGTGGCCACAGTTGTAACAAATTTACCTGTCTATGGGGATGAATATAGAATGCAAAAAGAAATCACATGGTCTAGATACATTACACAACATTAGAACAAAATGCAGATGAATTACAGTCTGTACAAACTAGGTTTATTCTAGGCTTACCTGAATAACTATCCTGAGATTTGGGACTCCGTCCTCCCAGACATCTTACTTCACTGTCTGTACCATTTACCATTTCTATAAATTGTCGCACCCTGAAAACCAAAAGGTAAACTCAGTGGGTCAACTGTAAAACACACACAAAAAAAAGCAAACAAGTCAAATGATGTAAAAAGTGTAATACAAGATTTCACGAAGGAAACCAATTTAACGACGATTTTAGAGACATCCTCTCTAATCAGTCATGAACTACACTAAAACAATATTCAGTTTGCTCTCTATATAACGAAGACCGCCACGCCTGCACCTTATTAATAACCAAGATACTGGCATGTCAAACTTTTGTAATCATTATAATCAAACGCACTTTATGGCTTTTAAAACAAATGCTTATTTAAATCCATAGGATTGAATTTTCATCTCAAAATAGTGAATTAAGTTAAGTTGGCCATGTAATGCTACCTGCTTTCGGACTCTGTGAACCTTTTTTTATTACCGTCACAAATTCAGATATACTTGGCAAAGAAACAAATAGGTAAGCATTTAAAACATTTTAAGATGCAAAAAATTGGATTTTTTTTTTGATACATGAAATTATTATATTATGCAAATTAAGAAATGACTCACTTTAATGTGAAGAAAAGATTAGGGTTCCGTTCTAGCAAACTTGGATATAACTGTTGTGTTGTTTCAATCGCTTCTCCCATTCTTCCAGCTAGCACCAATTTCTGAATTCCTGTCCACCAGTACAAGACACAAAGTCACTTGTTAATAAAGTGTTCATGTTGAACTTTCATTACAACCTATAATTAATTTCAGATTTAAAACTGAAGACAACTGGAGTCATGCTGCAGTTGGAGTGAAATGGAATACTGAAAATACATCTACTAAAACTTCATATAAAATCTGCAGGAGACAGAGGCATACACAAGGAACATCACACGCAGAAGAAATTTAATGGGATACTCTAAGCACCAGAACCACTACAGCTTTAAAAATGCCTTTTCTGAGAAAAGGTTAACGTTTACATTGCTTTCTATGGACACCCATAGTGACTGTCACACAGACAGCAACTAGAGGCTATTCCTAGTGCGGTCCTGCAATCTTTGTAGGACCAATATTCGCAGTCTTTATGATCTGCATTTAGACACTGAACATTCCCAATACAGATGCAATGGATCAGTGAATCTCTATGAGGAAATGATGATGGGCACTTAGCTGTGCAATGCTTCCCTATGGAAATCTATAATGATTATCTCAGCCAGTGGAGAAGTGTCGACTGCAGTGGGACCAGCACACTGTGGGATAGAAATTTTTTAAAAATTGTTTCATTTACTTTTTTTCAGGGATCCACTACATCTAAACATTTACGGAAATACTCTAAACTAAAGAAGACATGTTAGTGTTCCTTTAGCTTTGAAGTTGCCCTATTAAATTACACATTCAGCTGTAATGGTTAGGCCTAATAGGTTAATGGGCAATATGAAATTTGTATCTGCTACAAAAAAGTTAGCACAATCTGCACTTTAAATGTGTATTTTCACAGCCATAGGATGTATCCAACAGTTTCAAATTTGCATATGTTTAACGTGGCTCTGTTACACCCCACTGTCTAGGGACAGCTGTGGGGAAAAAGTATTGTCTATGGAGACTCCCGTGGTTTCACAGGATCCTCCATAGACCTCAGAATTGTACTATCACACATGTGTAAGAGTACACCTCTTACATGGGTTCCTGGCAGATGAAGCACCAGGAGCAGAAGAGGAACCACTGGATGTAATGAGGTTTCAGGAAAAAGAAACTTACCTACCGCTGCACTGCAAGTGGCAATGTCACCCCAGACAGCAACAGAGCTGCTTTAATCATGTACTCTGTCAAGGATGACTTACTCAAAAATATTAGCACATGCTGCACATGAAGAGGTCCAAAGCTCTCTGACAGGGACAGATAGACACTTCATATGATTGTTTCTACATTCAACAAAAGTACAGCTTCAAAAACACAATAACGAACTAGCAACTCTTCAACAAAAACTGAATGTTACAGAATTCAAAGGGTTGGGATGTTTGGCAAAACTGCCATTTGGAAACCAATCGTGTCCAAGGCAAATAAACAGAGACTTACAATCTGTGTAGGCAATGGAAAAACAAACAATCTGAAGAGTTATCTTTCATACTTCAAACACCCTGGTTTTTTCCTCTCTCAGGAAACACTTTGGTTCTATGTATGAGGCTAGCTGGTATGAGATCTGTGATGGCATGGGAAGCTATTTTGTTTGTTAATTTTTTATTTTATTTGATCTTACAGGACAGGCTCTATTTCTTAATGATGTTCTTACAGGATAATAGAGTCCTGCTGTACATTGCTAAACAAATCCAAATGTGGCTTTCAGAACACTGGGATGAATGTCTCCACAGTCACTAAACATCACTGAAGCTCTATGAAAAATTTTGTAGTGCACACGGCAAAGTAGATTTCAACATCTTTTAAAGAAATGTATGCTTCAGCGCAGATGACAAACTATGGAAAAACTAGGATTGGCTAAGAATTCTAAGTCATGAACTGATCTCAGCAGAAGCTGTGAAACTGAAGCAAACTGACAATCATTATAATGGGTCAGTGCCATATTGGAGAGTCCCTCTAAAGTTATATTACCACTTGCAAATTTATGTTGAATGATTTATAATTTTCATATTACTTTCTCTTATTTCAATTGTACGGATCCTAGAAATACACCATTTTACCATTCCATGGTATATTACAGAGTACCCAAATGTGTATGGCAATGGAAAACTGAGAAAATGCTATATAGGGGTTTTTAAGAAAAATGGTGGAGGGGTGGATGAAGATATTTTCGTCATTCATCAGGTATCATACTGGAAAGATTTGTGGAGAGTGGTTGGAATTCCAGCTACTATGTCGAAATCAGGAAATTTGATTCCAGACAGGGAAAACTATGTTATATAGCAAGGAAATAAATCCTAGTAATGGAAATAAACATAAGTGTGTTTTACATGTGCAAAAACAGAGCAAAACTCAGTTATTCTCGAAGATTGCCTATTTTGGCCTAAAATTTTCGACTCCCTTGACAATTCTCCACAATATCAGTTTAGTGAATAACCTTTAACACATGCAAGATTATAGAAACATGGAACACAGTAATTCCTACAACTGATAAGGCAGTAGCTTTAAATCACAATAATAGCCAATTTATAGCAGATACAGAACTGCATCTGTATACCAAATGAGAAACTAATGGTGTCAGCATTGTATTGCACCCCATTAGAACTAATGTATTTTTACAATGAAACCCAACATTTGGAGATGTTAATTGTATAATAAGGCCACAATTAATGTAGAACATGTCATAGAATTTTCAAATAAAATAAAAAAACATAACTATGCAATACAATACATAATACAAAACCACCCCTCTCTTACTTTGTCTATTTTTTATGGAAGCTAGTTCTTCCTGCACTGTCTGGTCGGTAGATTTGGCAAAGGCTTCGGCAGTTGAACAGTATCCGTGATGCACCAAGTATGAAGACACCATCCTAATACAGAAGAAACATAAAAAGTGACAAACATTTTAAGCCTTTTTATTTTTAACCAATATTATTATGCATTAGTAAATTAATGGGATGGGAAATTAAAATGAATAGACCTTCATGCAATAAATTAAGCTAGCACAAGAGACCAAAGCAATTAGGGAAAACATTTTACAGCTGTGGCTTCACACTTCCAATATTACTTTCATGATTTCATAGGGGCTTTTAGTAAGGCATGATGTTTTATGACAGTTTATTAACCCATTTAAACCAGACTTAAGCAAATCCTTCACAACCCTGACATCTGGGCCTTCCTTTACTTTACTAATGATCATTACCACAGAGAAAAAAAAAAGAAAAAAAAAAAAGTATCAATTCGCAATTTTATTAAACGCGCAAACACGAGCGCTAAATAACTGGTGATGTCAAAAAAGTATTTCAAACTGTTATAACATTCGGCAGCATGATGGGATACAATAAGTTAATCAAGACAAAGAATGCAAACAATAAATCATCGTAGTGACAGTATATGATAATTATCATAACGGCAGAGGATATCATCCTGGTGCCTATCACTATCCAAGAGTACTAGAAAAAGTACAAAAGTAAAAACAAATTAAAACAAATACACATAACATAAACAACTTGCATTTAGATTGCAAATCGTAAAATTGAAAATGCTTGATCTATAAAGTGCCCATCTACTGTTTTTATATGAATGGTATAAATTATTCAATAGAAGCACCAACTTGGTGTCCCTTGTGTAGTAATAAGAATAAATAGGGAATAGAAATTAGTGGAAAGAAAAGAGACTGCTGTTTTTACTTCGGAAAACGTAATTTATATTAAAGGAATACACATAATTTCCGTCCCCAGAGCAAAATTCTACTCTTGTTATGTACCAGCACATTCCCAAATAGCAACTGCAGGTATGTTCTGTGATTCCAGTTACTGCCATATCTCTGGAGGAAAATTCTGCGACCGAGCTGTGTGTTATATCGGCTTCTTACATTATTTTTACTACAGCGAGTTTGGAGAATTCCTGTAATTTATTTTTCTTCTGGAACAAGACTGATAACGAACCAAAAATATCAAACCTTTTCTGCCCAGACACAGTATATCTGACATTTAAAATGACTATAACCCACAAGTTCCATAAGTTCTGGCCTGTTGTTCTAAATTTATGTTAGAGAATGTAACGCACATATTGTCTGTGTGGACAAAGACAAAACAAGCAGAGCAGTTCCGTGAGTCAGATGAGGAAAATGTTTTTATTAAAATAAAACAGAGAAAATGGTGAAAGATTCATGGCTCAGAACAGCTTGATAATGTTTTAAATACATATGTGAAGCAATTGCTAAGATTAAAAGGAGGTTTAAAATAAAAGGGTATTTCAATTTCTTGATTCAAAAATATCCTCCTATGAATGGATTTTAAGCAAGAACCTACATCTCCCAATCACTTTGGCTGTTGGAAAACAAACAAACAAAAAAAAAAATCTGCTCATATTGGAAAAACTCTTACCATTACAGTATTTGAAATTAATCCTTGCTTGAATGCTTTCTGAGGATATTTTAAGATCTGTGCTTTATGGGATTAATCCTCCGCTTACTGCACAGTAATGAAAATCCTGTCCAATCTGAGAGATGAACTTTCGGTCTGGACTTTTCTGTGGCACTTGATGTCAATGACTTCTGCAGCAATCCATCTAAAGCAGTATCCAGAATTCTCCTAGTGACATATGAAGATTGGATACCCGTGACCATTTAGGCTAGAATGGAATAAGTATTTTAACCATTGCCTGATCCAGTCTACCACTGCTTGGCTTTCTCAGTATTATGAGAATCGTCAGGAGGGAGAAAAATAGACCAACTAGGAAAAATGTTTGAAGATATTAACATCAGATCTGTGGGTTTTATCTGGTCAGGGACAGAACATGCTCAGAAAAGTGCTTCCTTTACAACTATGAAGTCTATCATGGACCTCTGGTTATATGACGCAAAAAAGTAAATTTAACAACATGACAGGAGGCTTCATATTTTGCATAAACTCTCTTTACTAGCTCCACAGAAGCAAAGAAACACATAGAAAAAAAGAACCAATTACAAGAGAGTAGGATGAACATGAGGTATAATGACCTAATCATTTCCTCATTGTGTGCTGCTCCATCAAGCAGACCGGTCAGAGTATTACTCTTCTCCATTACTTTATTGCCATTTTTGAGGTTGTTTCTGTATTTTTCTTTATATACTTTGCTGTTTGTTCTTGCTGTGCTTCTGTACTATGTACAGCTGTGTTTTTTCTATGTAATTTATTGCGGTTCACCTGATTCTTGGTTTCTACCCTCTCCCCTCCTTGCTCTCACTTCTCTGGGGCTTGAGGGACTTTTGGGTCTTACTGGGGTTGCATGTTAATGTTGAATTAGGCCATTTATATAAGCTGTTTTAAGGGATTTCACCCATAACCGTGTATTAACTCTTAGAGCATGGATTAGTGCCCTCTGTCAGGACTGTGGCCTACACTCAAGGTGTGAGCCCCTACTATATTTTTACTGCAGTGTGCTACTGAATGGAGACATGCTGTTACAGCAAAGTAAAAACAAGTAATCCATCTTCACCCAGCGAGGGCACCATGAAGACTGAGCTCCGCAGGGCGGGGAAAGGCTTATAAAGCCTTCCTATGCCCTGCAATTAGGCTCAGAGCGCTCTGATAGGTTGGTTTAATCCAACCAGAGTGCTCTGATAGGTAAATGAAGATACTGACAGGTAAGTCTCTACATTTACCTGTCACAACACTGATTAGTTGGCTTGAAATCCAAGCAACCAGAGTGCTCTGTCATTTTACACAGCGTGGGAAAGTTCTATGGAATTTTCCCATGCTGTGTAATTTGACTCATAGCAACACTCTGATTGGTTGCTTTCAATCAACCAATCACAGTGTTCTCATGAGTAGGGGCCGGACACTATGTCAACTCCCCTTATTGTTATTTAGGGTCCCCACCAGCCGCTCAGGGGAGGACAATATGTACTCCCTCTTATTGTTATATAGGGCCCCCACCCACCGCTCAAGGGTGAAGGACACAAGGTCAACACCCCCATAGCTCATGGGTGATGGGTGGGGGCTATGGGGGATTCTATGTCCCCCTTTCACTTTTATAGCCCCAACCCGCGGGCCACAGGTTGGAGTCGGGGGGAGGGGACACACTATGTCCCCCCTGCTAGTTAATAGATACCACAATTAGACCCCTCCTCGGTTGAGGATTGCAACATTATCTGTCCATCATGGAACAAAGGCACGAGAAGGCATCAGGGTCTGACGACGACTGGGGTTCGGAATCCACAAATTGATGTGTGACCTACAACATCCGTCACTCATGTTCGAGAGACCTGGTCCGCTCTCGAACACCTAGCCAACTTTATGCACCTGTGGCTTTGCAAGCCTCTGCATAGCGATGTCCGTAACTGCTTGTGGTCGGACTGCCCATTCCCTTTCCTCCCAGGCAGAGTGGCACAGATGTCTGTGTTTGATCAGCGGATGATGACTTTCATGGCTCTGGGTGGCTGCGACCCAGCAAGGGAGTCAGGAGAGGTTTCAGAGACACCCAAGACAAATTGCTGGACTCTATTGACCCCCTCTCAAAGGTAAACTACCTGACAATGCCAGCACCATCCAGGAATGGGATCACAATATTCGTGAATGGGCTCAGAGATGTTTCTGTTTCGTCAGAAACACCAATGTTTGCCTTTCCTATGAGATGCGCATAGCAGCACTCCTCCGTATTGACGGATAGTTGGCAGATCTAGGCGCCAAAGCATTGGGATCCCATGCACATGGCACGCTCTTTCCTTGGTAAACAAGTTTATGTTCCCGGTTCCCTCATCAAGACCCAAACCTCCATAAGGAAGGTGGTACATGGTAACCTCCCTAGGGGATGTTCTACAGGTCTGGTCTACAGCGGGGCCATGTCGCCAACCACTTCAGGCATCTTAATCCTGTACATCACTATCACAAACTCTTTACCCAAAGTGGGTGAGAGACAACCTTCTAGTGCTCCAGATGATTGAACAGAGAACACGAAACGCCTCCTGTCATTACTAAAATTAAGATTATTAGTACACTAAAGCTAGCATAATCTTCAATTCAACCTTTACTTTGACGTTAATTTGTTGAATAATTTAAATTCTTTTGACTGCACAACTGTCTGCTATGTCCTAAAAGTAAAACAATCTGCATTAAAATCATTAAGATGCTGATATTGATGTAAAAGACCAAGGGGACTGAAGTTGAGACAGAGTAATACAAACTGTCCAATAAGAAACTAGTGTAGGAGGCCGAAAGTGGGAACAGGCCTCTGAGAGAGTTGTCAAGAAATGGAGAAGTCAGATACTCCAGTAAAAGATCTTCGGTAGCAAAAATAAATTACATTAAGTCAAAGTCTAGGTTATAAGTACTGAAGCAAATGCTATGAAATACTGCAGATGTTCTGAAAGTAAGGCGTCAAAAATCATTGTTAATTAGCAAGGACAAGACTGAACAAAAAAAAACATGCATCTAGGACAAATATAGAGAATAGAACTCTTATAACTAAACCAATGATCACTTTTATGGTGAAATCCACACCACCAGCATATTCATGATGATTTGACATGAATAATTTGGGCAAAATGCTCAAATGATTACTAGATATACAAATTAGAACACTCAATAACCCAGAAAACCAAATACAAAGTGGACAATGTAAACAGTTGATAGGTTCTTTTAGTGATGTGTTCTCTTCTCAGACATCACTGTCATTTTGTATTTTTTTTTTAACCATTAAACATATTCTGAGAAAATTTATTTTAATAAAAAGGTTGCATGGAACATATTGTCCTGACCAATGCAACACATGCGGTAACGTTATGTAGTCCAATTCTTAGGTAAGTTTACGTGCCCAAAGAAATGCCTTTTACTGTTTTTTGATTGTGCTGCCATTCCATTGTATCATTTACACACGGACACCTCTGTTTTTAGGTATTAGTGTTCTGCATTAGCCTCACGGTTCCAATGAATGGACACATTTCCAATTTAACCACTGTCTGCATTTGCATTGATATGATCATAACAAATGTAACCTCAAAAATCAAATAAAATATAGCGTATTTTTCTGTATGCCATATTATAAAAATAGATCAGTGAAGAGAAAAACAGATTTCAGACTACTGGGACTATTTGCCCTTATTTAATTTACCAATGCAATTCAAATGATATTCCTCTGACATCATCATCAAGTTAGGCTCCTGAGAAAATTATGTGCAAGTTAAATCTGATTTTGTACACAATATTATTACATAACAGGTTCGTGGAAAAGAGTTGATGCATATTGTTTGTTTCACTTTTTGCATATTGGAAAACAACTGGAAGGAAGTTACGCATCTGAGAGAGAAAAAATAAATAATGACAAAAAAAGAAGAATGACCTATAGCTAGGGTTACCAGATCCATCATGTTTTCAGAGACACACAATTTTGTCATATTTATGAAAAATGCATGAAAAGGGTTATCTTGCAGTATGTATAACGCATGTTCTGCAGAATTCTTCATTGCCTAATTACTTAATCGTATACAGCTTCTTCTGAATTTTACATACTACAGGGAAAAAGGTTTCATATGTTGCCCATCAATATGTATACATGATCTATGTTCCTGAAAACATGGTGACATTGTAAACCTACTTAGAGCAGATCTGTCCCTTCTGGTGACCTCTCAAGTTAGCATCTGGTGGATGTGAGGTATTGTGAAAGGTAGATTTACCGAATAGAAGCTGTTGCACAGGGCCACATGCATCTTCATCATGCAGACCCTCTTCGGCTCCTGCTGCTTCATCAGCCAGGAGTTGAATCAGTGCTGTACACAAGAGTACAACACGGAGGTCTACAGAGGATATGGCTAGACCGAGACGATCACGAGATAAGTGAAATAATGCCTGAATTCCACAGCCATCACTTATGATAGCGTCTGGGATTGGACAAGTAGTTTCTCTTTTGACTTACTGTATCTTTTGATTGTGTTGGAATTTCAATTTAATTCCAATGCAGTCAGCATTAGTATTTTATAAAGATTATGTCTTTGTGAGATATGGAGAAGTAACTAAGCCACTTTAAAGGGAGTTACAGAGAAGAGTGAAAATGTTCTGCTAGTAATCTGAGATCAAGGTTATCTCATAGTTGCTCCCCCTCCCCCAGGATAACAGCTCCAGGGTTTGCTGGCTAGTTTACTGAAATGATTACTAAAATAAGGCAATAAGTCTTACCACATATCCCCATATTAAATGCCAGTACTTACCCTAGGTTCCTATAAAGTTCAGGTTTCATCTTCTAATTCTAATCCAATACCTCAATCTACATATCCTCAGTAATATAAAAGAAGGTCTCGTGCATGCCTCTCCACTATGCCAGTCCTCTCAGCTGTATCCCCAGTTCTGCAATTCTTCTATAGTAAGTAATTCTGTAAGGCTTATGGAATTCCCTTCATGGTCAAACTAAACTTTCCCCTAATCTTCAGTCCTTTAACAAAATTAAAATCTCACTTCTTTAGCAAAAGCATATTAACTAACCAATTAACTTATTTGACTTTACTACTATAGAGTTTCCTTCTCTGTTCATAATCATATAAAGCTTACAGACATTCTTAATACACTTAGAAAACCATTTTTACTCTGGATAGAATGTACTTATTCATTTTGTCTAATTTTACCCTACCTCTATTGTGATTGTAAACTCTGTTACATGGGAACCGCCACTACTCTAGAAATTACACAATTGAATAAAACATTAAAATTACCTATAACTTGTATACAAATTTTTCCCCATGTGAATTTCTTTTAAATGTATCACAGTCCAGTTCAGTACTGGCGCAGCCAGGGTACACATTTCTTTGCATAACCATCTTCATATACTATGTTCAATGACAGAAAATTGCAGAGCTTGTAACAATGATTGACAGAGAGCCAAGACAAAGGCACTCCTTCCAAGACATATGTAAATACAGCAGTGTGGATTTATACATTTGATTTTTGGACTTCAAAAAAATTAACATTTGTTAAAGGGTCACTCCACTATCCCCAAAAACAAAATAAATGAAAATCACTGCTTAGTACACAAACCCCCAATGAAAACATGCATGCATTTTATCGTTGGGGTTATATGAAAAAACATTTAGCAAAACATGGATTTCTGCAAGCTCTCCCCTTCTAAACTCACCCAGACTTTTTGTGGCTGTCCAATCACAGACTTTCCAAGGCAGCTGAATGAGACCTGTTTGCAAGGCAGGTACAATTGCTGCCTCTTGAGGAAGTAAACCAAACCAGGAAGTAACATTACCTGTTGTCTGTTTGAAAGCCAGGGGGGAGGTGTAACCAGGTAAATTCAAAAAAAGTTTAATTTTCTATCTAAATTATTATTTAAATAATATAAAGTCTGCAATTTTTGCAAAAGGAAAAAAAAGAGAGGACACACTCCTCACAGTTAGTGGTCTAGATTGTCCCTTAAATATACAACATAAACATAATATTTAAATACCATTCCATCGTTGTAAAGAAGTACAGTTAATAAGAACGCTGGCGTGTTTGTAGTCTCCTTGGCCTCCTTTCATCCAACCTGTTGGATTGGTGAACTCTAATCCCATAAATCCTGCCCATAAATCATTACGGATAGTTTACCAGACAATGCAATGCTTCTCGTAGAGAAGTAGGGCACAAGCAAAGGAATCAATCACTGATGGTGCACAAAGTGATCAGGAAGGGTATCCTCTCCACTACTCAATGGATAGATGGGAGGGTGCTATTTAACAACTTTATAAAAGTGCTGATTCTCTTGCAATTGAGTTCTTTAGAGGTTTGAACTGTTCATTTAAAATCCTGGAAAGTGACAGTTCCCCTTTAAACAGGGTCCCATTGCTCCTGTTTTCAAACACACCTTGTTGAATTTACTGGTGTGTGGCATTTGCTCATTGTATAGTACTGTAGTATTGGTGCTTTACAAATAATGCTAATGAGACATAAAGAAAATGTGTGAAAAACATACCTCTGAATTACAGACTGCCATTCTCCTCCCACAGGAAACCTTTCAATTTGTGCTTGAATTTTCGTTCTCCACTCCCGTATATAATCTTCTATGTCAAATACAAAAGGACTCTGACCAAAGTTTGCATCAACAACTTCCCCTGGTGTTTGCAGCCCAACTGTTGGATATAAATTTGGCTAAAGAAGAAAAAGAAAATATGTAGGGGTGGTAAACATTTTAGACAGTATTGTAATAGCCATTTCATCAATTCAATCTAAAAGTATATGTCTGTTTAAATATAAAGCATATGATAGATCATCACATAGGAAATACCTATCCGTCATGCACAAAAATCAGATTCTGAGTGGGAGGAAAAAGATCTCCCAACATTATGAGCACTATAATAAACATTTAAAATTTTGAAGAAAAAAGCAAAAATGTTTAAGTACAGTTCCATCTATTTATGGAAAATTATGCTATTTAATGTACACATACAAACTTATATACAGGGCACAAAAGTCCAAGGCCTACATTACTAGACTTGCTTAAAAGTCACTTGCCAGCCTAGTGCAAGCCTAATGGATCGGTGGTGGCTCTCAACCGGGATGCATTTTTACTCACACCAAAATTGAGATGTGTTTCATTCATTTATATGGAAGGAGGACCCTATCTGGTTGCACTCTGTTTGTTTGTGTCTCCTCAAAGTTTGGGGGGTGGGTGGGATTTCCATCCTGAGCTTTAATATCAGGCCACCCATTTTGTGAGAATTATTGATCGGCCCACAACCTACGTGACTCTATCTGGAATTGGACTTGTCTAGAGGCATATGTAAAGCAATGGTATAGCTTGATGCTAAACATTGGCCACTTGATTTCTAAACACACCCCTCTATTGGGGCTATTCTTAAAGCATGTCATTTTTCCTTTGCGACAAATTAGGACTTACAACTACTCCGGACTCCATGTTACCTTTGGTTAATAACCATGGAGTGCCTGGGGAGCTGCGCACACTACTACTATAGTGTTGGGAGTTCTGTGTAGTCCCCAGTCTCTGAAACATTTGCTCAGGGGAAGCTTTCAGTGACATCTCTCCCGAAGAGATGTCACTGAATGGAAGAGAACGCACTTATGATTGATTTAGGTATCATTAGTAGCATTTTTAGCATTTAGCATTTTTATAATTCAATATCTCCAATGCATAATCTGCATAGGGAACCAGTTGTGGTTGTTGGGGGATCACCCTGATTGGGGTATATCTATTGTGTCTCAGCACCTTATAAATCCGGTACTAGGTTGCCCCCATACAGTTTACAGCTAAGTGGGAGAAGGATTTGGGGAAATCTTTTTTGCAGAAGCAACGGGAAACAACGTTCCTTCTCTCCCACAAGTCTTCACTAGACTCTAAAATCCAGGAGACAAACTTTAAGCTTATCTCGAGGTGGTAATGAACAACAAAAAATACGCCACTACTGGTGGTGCTGTGGGGAGGATTGGATCTCTACGGCACATCTGGTGATATCTCCCTACTAAAAAATGATCCAGAGTGAGCCCTCACCTGTTTACACCTGAGAGTAGAGCTGCCTCATCATACATTAGTCTCCCTCTCCAAATATGAAAAAGTATCACTAGGTACTTATTAAATCTTGCAAAGGCCCTCATTCCAATTTATTGTAAACAGCAATAGGTGCCCAGGCTTTAGCAGAGGTAGTTCAGTGTAAACAAGAATTATGAGTTTATGATAGCTGCGCTCTATAATCGCTCCGAAAAGTGTGCTCTGATGTAAGGGCCCTGGCTCAATTACAAGGCGTTGGTATAATGCTCAAGTATCTGCGGACTTGCTCTCCTCCTTCTTTGTTCTTCCTTTCCCCTCCCCTGCTTTTTTGTTCTGCTACATGCTTGTTGCAACTGCCCTTGGACCTACATCTTTAGTGTGTCCCCATGTGACAAATTAAGCTTTGCTTGTATCCTAAATTTGCTATGTTGGCGAGTGATTTGTTATATTTCCTATCACTATAACTGAGCAAAACCAATTTTAAAGGATGGTTGATATAAAATACCAACTAACACTTGGATTTCTCAAGGGCCTTATTGTGTTTTATATATCTTTATTTTACATTAAAATGTAAAGTCTTTTCAATTAAGATTTTCCAGAAAATAATTACATTTTATATCACAAAGACAGAGTTTTTAATTTGCAATTGGGTGGGACATTTTGAGGTACAGTTTTTATATATGATTCAAAATAAAGTCACATAAGCGCAAACTTGCAAACTGTAGAAACTTGTGGAATGACAGCGTTACCCCAAAAAGCACTGCTGCATGATTTGTAATCATTACAGAAACAGCTAATATACTATTATTAGGTTCTGTGATAATTACAAGATGTATGTGACCTAAGTTTGCCCCGCCACTTAGCGGTGAGTTGGTGACAATGTTATAGGAACATTCCAAAAACACCTAAAGCACTTTAGCTTGCTGAAGTGCTTAATGTGTGAGGGAGGATCCTCTTTTCATTTTACAAAAAGTGCAAATTTCAATAGAAATAAGCATTTTCAAAAATGAATCTTCTTATACCTCCCTAGCAGTCAATCAGATTACCAGTCCTGTTACTTCCTGGTTGTTTATCTATGTGGAGCTAAATGCAAGACGTTGGCACTTCCTCAGAACACCTGCTTTGCAAAGACTTCTCATTCAGTTGCTTAAGCATGTCTGTGATTGGACAACTACAGAAAGTCTGGGCTGGGTTAGAAGTGGAGGGCTTGGAAAAGCTGCAGACAAAAGATCTGCAGCTTTTGCAAACTGCTTTTAGATATACCACCAATGGGAAAAAATGAATAATTAAGATCATGAATTCTTTCATTGGGGGTGTAGCTTCTAAATAGTGTCCCTTTAATTACAATGAAGCAGTCATTATAAAAGTAACCCCTTAAACATAAATGCTACAAAGGAGTAGTGTCTGATAACGAGGCTTAGTGGCATAAAAAAAAAAAAAAAAACAGAAAAAACCAGACAAAACAAATCAGAATAAAAGCAAAGCAAATATTATAGTGCCATCAATATAAAAGCACGGAAATAAAGGCAGAAGAAAATTTAAGCAGATATGGCTAGTAAAAGATTGAACTTACCGGCAGGTCTGTAAAAGCAATACCTGTTGTAAAATAAAGGACAAATTAAATTAGATGACTCCAGAAATGTAATAATCATGCTCTAGTTTAGTGTAACAATGTCTATCTTTTTAGAGATTTATATAGAGCACAAAACATGCAAACCTTGCTTCTAAACACAAAAATGACTTCCAGTCTAGATTACTGGTGGTTCATCATTTATTTTAAGATAGGGTTACTGCAAAGACAAACTGAGTTTCATAAAAAGAAAAAGTGTGTGTGTATATATTAAATAAAAACAAACACAATACATTTCAATCAATTTAGACATTTATATTAATAAGAGCATAAGTATTGCTAAAAAATAAAAGGCCAAAAATAGATTTGAGCAGTCATAGCAAAATCTCAAAACTAATAACACAAACTCCACTACATACCTCCTAAAACCAAATGAACAACATTTTTAAATCTCCCAGACTACTTTCAGCCAAGAAAAGCATTTTATTTTATTATCATCACTCAATCTGTAGTTTGAAATATTCATGTGTAAGATAAATAAAGGGACAATTTACTCCTTCACAGCAGAGACATACAATACCTAAGCTATGACCATTCTTGGTGTAGAAACACGTATTGTCAATAAGGTTCACACAGCAGCCGATGACGTCACCAGTTGTGAATGTTGGCCCATATGGCTGTCCAGTTCCAGAGGAACAGAATGAATGCCCATCATCTCCATGATAGCCGTAAGAATGCTTATCCCAACCTTTGTGTTTGTAAGGAAATACAGATCACCATTAACAGAATACAAAACAAAAGGTTTGCCCATGATTGTACTTTATAAACAATCTCTACAGTATATTAAAGGGAAAAAAAAATCTAGGTTAAAATGCATGTTAGTGCACTTAAACTTTTCCAAGTATAAATTTTCAGAAAAGAATGAACATTTTTAAATAAACACTCCCAACCCCTAAAATTCTTCAGTGTGCTGAAATCAGGGGTCAAGTCCTGGGGAATAAAGTGTGGGAACTCACCCAAGATCCACCTCCCAAACATATAATAATATACACTGTGTGTGTGTGTGTATATATATATATATATATATATATATATATATATATATATATATATATATATATATATATATATATATATATATATATATACACACACACACACACACACACACACACACTGACAGGTGCACACACATACACTCAGACACACACACACTCACAAATACATTCACACATACACTCACAGACACACAACCACACTCACTCACAAATTATTATAATTTTTTTTAAAATTTAAAAATGTCCACCCAGCCTCCCTACCTGGAGAGCTGGCATGGACCTATCCCTAGGGTCCAGTGGAGCTTCAGTGTGGCGGGCGCCTGTTTCCTTGTCAGAGTTCTCTATGCTCTGCTCCCTCTCCTCGCGCAGGCTGACGTCATATTCCGGCTCCCGGCACCAGCAAACGGCGCGTGAGGGAGCAGAGCAGAGAGAACACAGCTCCCTCGCAGCCTCTGACAGGAAGACAGGCGCCCGCCGGGGGGATCCATCAGGCCACCTCTTGGGGCCCCCCATGACAGGGGGAACACAGGGGCATTTGGGGGCGGCATTTTTTGACACCCCCCGAGTGCCTGCAGGAGCAACGGGAACGGCATTCCTGCTGTAAAAACTCTGAGCGCCACAACCCCAACAGCCTGCTGTAGTCATGCTGCCAGGGATACCCTGGCCCTGTTTCCCGGTTATGTGGTAAACCGTTTTGCAACCATTTGCCCTATTATCTGATTTTTGGCTGGGAGCTCTGCGTCCTCCAGTGCCCAGTGATGACATCTGGATTCTGATGGAGTCAATCCCACTGGCCATTCATAATCTATTGTCAGCCAAGGAATGCAATTTTGTGCACAGGATAGAATTGGATGTACATTTATGTAAGTTTATGCACAGAATTGACATTAGACATCCCTGACGCTGCTGAAGCTGGACACATCCAACAGCAAAGGCGTAAAACTCTGGATGTGAAATGTTTCGCTATAACAGACATACAGACTCTAGGCACCATGACCACTGTCTGGTGCCTGGTCATGGTGCTTGAAAAATCTGTCTGTCCCTTCTTTCTTCTTTTTTAAAAGTGTCGATTTCAAGAAAAATCTGAACATTCATAAACTAAAAATTGCACCCTTCTGGCTGTCAGACACCTGGAAGGCTGCTCTTCCTCATTTGCACTGAGTGTTGCTCAAAGCAGAAGTGAGGGAATCTCATATAGAAACAGTGCTTTTTCAGAAGCATTCTATTGGGTAATCACTGTAACTGCTGCAAATGCTCTGTAATACCCCAATGCTTCTGTATGAGAATCACTGGATTGGCCCAAGAGATCAACACCAGAAGCGTATTTAAAATATCTAAATATAAATCAAGGGGAAAAATGAACCTAAAACCCCCTAATATAAACACTTGAACATTCCAGTGGTAGCAATAAATGCATTTATTTTCAATGTTGGAGTGTTCTTTTAAAAGAAATAATGTAAAAATTATATAAAGAAAAATATGAATATTGTGCTGGAATAGGCCCCAACAATTGCTTCTCTGCACAGAAACGGATATTAATTGATACATTATATTTTTGGTGGATCACACGGATCTGGTATGGGTGCATGGGCCACAGAGTGCAGAAAAAGGTGAGTTTTACCGTGGATGAGTGGCCACACTCATCTTCACGCTGCAGGTCCTCTTCAGATACTGGCACTTCAGTTGCAAAAACCTGCGAGAGTGCAACTCTGAGGGTCTACGGACGGCTGCTGGGATTAGGCAAAAGTTGATGGCAGAGCTCTGCCTTTTTTCAATCTCAGGCTGTACCATAAGGCAAAGTAGTACCTACTTTGTCTTATGGAATCTTTGGATTACGTTGTTCAAACGTAGTCTTAATCAGTATTTCATAACGAATATATCTTTATTACACAATAGAAAGTGACAGATTTACTTTCAAGTGTTCCCACCTAACATGATTTGTTTTATATTACAAAAAATATGATGTCATGGCTTTGAAATGTCTTATTCTACAGGTGTTGGTTAGCAGGTAGAAAAAAACATCTTGTTTAATCTTGATTTAGACAGAACACTGTTTGATCATGCATACAAAAAACAAGCACACCAAGACAACTTATTTATACAATGTGTCAATTTACACTCCCTCCTTACAAAACACTTACATTTAAAGGGACACGATAGGCATCAAGCTTTAGCTCAATTAAGCCATTTTAGTGTATATAGATCATGCCCATGCAGTCTCACTTTCAATTCTCAGCCATTTAGGAAGTAAATCACGTTTATTTCTGTTTATGCAGCAAACATCTCACACTCGTTGATTATTCCCTAACCATCAAGCTATGGTGAGCTGAAAAGCAAACTTGAAATATATGTGGCCAAAGAGTCATGCTTGCCATTTATCATAAAACTTTTCCTTCTTAATTATTCTTCAGTTAAAAAAAACACTTTTGTGAATCAACGTTTAAGGTTGATGAAATGATAAAAGAGAATGAAGTGAATTCAGGTGAATGACCCCCACTCTTTTTAGATTGCAGCTCATACTCTGATACTCAACTAAAGTTTAAAGAAAACCAGGATGTACATATGTGTACTAATGATCATCTGTGATAACCTATTTCTAGAATGTGACTCAATATTTGTCGCCCCATATTACAGGTTATTGATATACTTGTTATATTCAAGTTACAGCACATACCTGGTAGCCTGTTCAGGTTCACACCCTGTGTAGAGAGGCCAATCCCCATGTAGCTGTAGAAAATTATAACAACAAATCCTCATTATGTATGACATTTCTAATAAGCAGGATAATCTGTGATGCAAATTAGTATTTGCTGTGCAGTGGATTTACATTTTGCACTTACAACATAATTAATAATTTGATTGCTGAAGGTAAATAGATTAATAACAAAAGCCTCTTACACATTATCTTCATGTTCATCAACATCATTGCATTTGTCTCCCATTACCTGCCCAGCAATGAGTTAGGGAAAAATAAGTTCATGAGTATTTCATGAATAGCCTAAATCACAAAAATATTTTTTTTTTTTTTTTTTGCCATTTGTCTAGACTTCTGCAGTATTCATTTACATAAACTATGGTTGACTTGTACAAGAACTTGAATGAGCAGTGGCAAACCGTTGCATACAGCTGGTGCTTGGAGTGTCCTTTTCATCCTGAGGTTCTACAACTATGGTATTTAAAAGGAGCTATTATTACTCTAGGGATATCTAATTATTTTGTGATGGGATTCCAGCATGGTTAAAATTTAGTAGGCCAAAATCTCCATGTGGCATATGTGTATGTTGTGTCAGTTGGTTAGCTACATGTAGCTAGGATACTGTCATCAGTGTACTGAGCATGTGCAGGAATGCAGGAACTGAAATTGCACTTATTTCCTTTGTCTTGGATGAGCCATGTGGTTTGACTAGATGTACAAGTCTATATTCTGCTCATTGATTGGTTAAAGGTATATGTGGGTGTAGCTATTAATGGGAGGAGTTATGTGCCTATATAGGGAGCCTGCACTATTGTTCAGGGCTCAGAACTTGCTGTATTTTTGGTGACATTAGTCCCTCTGAGTCCCGATCGGTGATCCAATAAAGAATCTCCTCCTTCCTGAAGAAACCTGTGTCCATCTCTCTGTGCTTTGCTTCCGTCAGTTTCTCCGGTATCATTTGGTGCATTGGCCGGGAAACTCATCGTTCAACGGTAGCTGAGAGGCAGAGGCGTGAGACGGTCTATCTTTGCCCACGTTCTCTACGGCTGCACCCCTGAACTTCTGCGTGGACCTCCCTTCGTCTCGGCGCCACTGGTCTGTTGTCCAGGAGATCATCGGCCTCTACGTAAGAAGTGCTGGGGTGTCCCCGTCGATGAGTGTGAACTCAGGTTCAGGAACGAGGAGGTAAGACAACTGCTGTTTTAGACGGCAGACCCACTAGGGGTATACCGATTGTGCGGTAGGCCCAAAAGGGGTTTAAATCTGTGTATGGAATCTGCCCCCTCTGTCGGAGGGAAGGAGCGAAGGCGCACCGCTCGATCGAACGCTCTTTAGTAAGACCGTTTGATCTGGTTAGTCAGGCGGGGTCCTGTGTAAATAGCCCTAGCCGGACACCGGTGTCTTGTCTAGACTAGCGTTCTAGGGTGTATATTACGTTCGCTAGGTCGGAGGGACCGGGAGACTAAGCGGCGCCTGTGTAAATTCGGTTCGCTAGCTCTCAACCTATCTTGGCTAAGTGGGAAGGCGTGTAAATTTGGAACCCACTAGACTTTTGATAGAGTAAATAGACTAGAAGGGCAATTTCCGCCCTCTAGTTCGCTATATGTGGTGCTTGGGCAGTGTGGCTAACCAAAACGGGTGTATATAGTTTTAGGTAGTCTATTCAAGGTACTGGCCAATAGTTTAGTTGGGATTATTGTAAATGTTGTTAAATATATTGTAGTTGGTGAATTGGTTAACTTGTATGTCCTACTAGAAAGTTAGAGCTCTGCTGTCTAGTGGGAGTGTAAATTGTGTGTATAACTGTAAAATAGCGCACGGTACCATAACTACTGACATGTACCATAACCACTGACATTGTGTAAAATTACTAACAATTGCTGTTTTATGTTATATGTATAATACCATAACTGTTACTAACTGATCTGTGACTTTAAAACTGTATTATAACCACTTACTAACTGTACCATAACCACTGACTGTAAAGATGAGGTTACTAGAATGTGATATAGTTGGTTAGTCAAAAGTTGATTTATAGTACAGATAATTGTAGAGATGAATTTGTTGAAATGTTATGTGATCGGTTAGTTTATATGGATTAATAGCGTGGATAGTTGTATGGTTTGAATAATAGTTACATTGATAAGTGTATAGTCTTTGGTGGGTTTTTGATTTAATTTCGTGTGTGCGACGTCGTGATATTGTTGAGCATGTGAGGATCCTGTGTGTGTGTTTGGGCCTAGTGACTGCGCAATGTGTTGCTGGTGATAAGGAGATTGGTGTGACTGTTGAAACTGTGTGTATATTTGTACAGCTTTTTGAATCAGACGTTCTGTTGAAATAATCTGATTCACTTGGCTGTTAGTCTTTTGTCTTGTATGTTTAAAAAAAAAAAAAAAAAGTAGGGAGTAGCTTGTCCTGGTGGCCGCATGGCCTCCATGTAGCAGTCTTCACTTAAATTTAGTGCAGGGTGTACATGTGGCTGTAACTAGTAGGCTGGAATTCTATGATCAGTTTCTATATATTGACTGTTGGAAACTGATTGTTGCCTTGGTGAATTAAACTGTGTCATATGGGAAACAATGTAGCCACATGGTGGTCAGAACTAAGGACTTAATTACAACTGCTTTGGACATCCCCTCCCCCCCTGGCATCTGATTACCAACCCCCCAAACATCCTCCAGAGCTAGAGTAGCCACGCCCATTTCTGGCTGGTATAATCAGTATTTGCACTCCCCCTGCTCTACTGTCCCCGCCTACCCACATACCTATCTGTTCCTGTGTTTCAAACTCTTGTATTTCTGTACTACCCCTCCCCCTAATCAATGATCAATGGTATCAGATGGTATATGGTCTTTTTTTTAGTTACTGGATGGGCCCCTCCCAGCTTTGTCCAAAATGTCCCCTTTTACTAAACTACAAACTGAAATGTTTAATTTACCTTAGAACTAAAGATTTAATCAAGCCTAGCTAGCAGGGTGGACATTGATTAAAATAAGTAATAATAAAATAGGACATAATTAATTAAAGTCTATTTGTTTCATTTGACTTTAGGGAGGCACTCTAAGCCACCTACTGGCCATCTTCGGGAGTTACATTGATAATACATTGTTTATAACAGATAGATGTAGGATTGCTTACCCTATTTTAATATATTTATTGCTATAAGGTTTTATTTTATGTATAAATATATTAAAAGTTGAGTTTTCTTATTAGACCCATAAAGATTATTTTGATACAATTACCCTCTGGTGACACCTACTGGTAGGTTTTTGGTTTAACACTTTAAACAAAAAACGTTTTTTCATCCACCAAATGCTGACTAATAAAATTATCTTACTACTCCTAGACTGGAACCTATTATTGGGCAGCCTTGCCGAAGTCCCATATTAGACACTGCTTGAGTCAAATAGGTTGTATACTCCCTTTAATCCAGAGGCCCCTGAAAACTTCCGAATGATAGACTCAGCATTTGTCAGCCAGGCCCAAGGTGATAGTAAAAGGAAATTACAGAAAATTAGAGGGATTTGTAGGGATGTCCATAATACAGCTAATGGAGATTGCAAATACAGTATATATGAATAGGGAGATGGAGGAAGAACGTAAAATGAGGAAAAAGGCAGATATGCTAGCGGTAGCTATCTTAAGTGTAGAAAGACAGGGAAGTGAATAGAGGAGACGAGAATAGGCTGAGCAAGGGACTTTAAGTAGGAATTAATGTGCGTATTGTAGAAAGGAGGGACATTGGAAGAGTGAGTGTCCACAGAGAGAGCAGTATGAAGGTGATAGACAAGGAGAGAGAAGGGTACGAGGAGGTTATAGTGGTAGTTATAGAGTAAGAGGAAGTTTTAGAGGGAATGGTGGGAATAGTAGAGGAAGTGTTCAAGGAGACAGATACTATCCACCCACGCAGAGACCTAGAGAAAGAGAGGATAGAGATTTTGTGGGTCTGGCTGACACTATCATGGAAGACTATTGATACCGACTGGGCTCCATCCCACTTGGTCGAGCGTAGCCTATGGTCGATGTAGCAATAGGGGGAAAGAGAAGTTCTTTCATGATCGACACAGGTGCTGAACATTCTGTGGTGACTAAGATGGTGGCTCCGCCTTCGGGGAAGACTATAACTGTGATAGGAGCTACTGGGAGAAGTGCAGCTAGACCGGTTCTTAAGAGTCGCACTTGTATTCTGGGAGGCCATGTGGTGAAGCATTAGTTCCTATATATGCCAGAGTGTCCGATTCAACTTTTAGGACGAGATCTATTATCGAAGCTTTAAACTCAGATAACCTTTTACCTAATGGATTAACATCTCTGAAGTTTAAGGGATTACCAGGCATAATGGTGATATCGGTGCCAAGGGAAGAAGAATGACGCTTCTATTCCATAGTGACAAGTGTTAACCCTAAGAGTGATGAATCCTTACTTGACATTCCAGGAGTATGGGAAGAAAATAATCCTCCAGGACTTGCTCGTAATATCCCACCAATACATATTGAGTTAAAGCTCGGGGTGTATTCTGTTAGCCTTTGTATGTTGTTCTTTTATCTACCCCAACAGCTGTAAAGGTGGCGGAAGTGACTCCTTGGATTCATCATTCTAAGGTTAAACCAGCAGCAGACTCTTGGCAAACTACTCCAGATCCTGAGAATCCTTGCAGGACCCGGTTGAAGCGTGCAACTCAGTCGGAGTGACGAGGGGATATCGAGACATTCTAATTAAAAGTCTACAAAGATCATCAAGTAGGTGTTTTGACGGCCATAATAAAGCCTGACCACCTGCCTACGTGTCATAGCCAGAGTATCTTGAAGGGATCTCTGTGAAGGAAAGTGAGGATCAGAAGAACAACATCCTTGCAGCCCTCACAATCGGGAAGCTGAGAGGCCATCGCACGGTCGAAGAAAAATGAGGATTTCAGGAATAATGTGTTTTATTGTGTCTTAGTATTTTTATGATTTTTCAGGAAGGTAGGAGTATAGACATACCGAATTGCGATAGTTGCATTAAGACTACTAAAACAGGTAACCAAATATCCCAAACTTTCATCTGGCACTCACAGTATGAATGTAAGGGATCTGTATCTAAATGTAGATATTTGGATATTGATTATAGTGTGTGCAAGCCAATATCAGGAGAGTCTAAATGTTTTGATCCCCATTTCCAACCCCGTACAATTTGGTTGGTAATTCGGAATAGTAACTCCCAGGGGACATTAATAAATAGGACTGTGATAAGCACCATACATTCCACGGGTATTCTACTATTTGATGCATGTAAGGCGATTTCGGGTAGTGGAAGACTTTGGAATGTATGTGGTAATCTTAAATGGGAACGAACTTATGGGTTTAATGATAAATACTTATGTCCCAGTAAAAGATCTACTGATCCTGATTGCCCAAATAGAGACTAACTTCTGCCCCTATTGGTCATGTGTAGGTTGGGCAACCTGGGAAAAACAGTGGATCAAGATATGATTATCCAAAGGTTGCCTACCACACCATACTGTAAAACTATGTGTGTAACCCCGTTCACATGACCATTTCCAATCTGCAGTACTTTATTGACAGGTTTGGAGGTCTGTTTGGGTTCCAAATATATGGCACAGGAGTAGATTCAGGAACAATAATATATGTAGGTCTTGAAACTGAGACAGTGGCAACTCAAACTCATCAGGTTTCTCATTCCTTCTATGAGGAGATGAGTATTGAGGATAAAATTCCCCATAATGTTAACAACCTATTTATTGATTTGGCTGAGGGTATTGCAGGTAGTCTTAATGTAACTAATTGCTATGTGTGTGGAGGTACTAATATGGGAGACCAGTGGCCATGGGAGGCAAAGGAAATATGGTACCCTGGCTCTGAGACATATGAACAACAGATACCTTTCCAGTCTGATCATCAAGTAAGTACTAGAAGTAAATTGGAATGGTGGTTAAAAACCTCCATTATAGGTCATGTTTGTATAGCCAGGAAAGGGACAATGTATAACACGTCTGTAGGTGAGCTAACTTGCTTGGGACAAAAAGCCTATAATGTTAATACTAAAAATACTACTTGGTGGTCAGCTTCAAATGTCTCGGAACCTACTAATCCGTTTGCCAATTACACTCATTTAAAGGAGGTATGGTTTGACTTATCGGCTACATCTAGTTGGAAAGCCCCAGCAAATTTATACTGGATTTGTGGTAATAAAACTTATTCGGAGTTACCACAAGATTGGGAAGGGGCATGTGTATTAGGTATGCCAAAGCCATCCTTCTTCTTGTTGCCAATCGAAACAGGAGAGACCTTGGGAGTTAAGGTTTACGATGTAAATCATAAAAGGGAGAGAGCATCCTTGAATATAGGTAGCTGGGAAGATAATGAGTGGCCCCCTCAACGTATTATTAATTATTATGGACCTGCTACTTGGGCAGAAGATGGCACTTATGGATATAGAACTCCGATTATATATGCTCAACCGCATTATTAGACTACAGGCGGTAGTTGAGATTATTACTAATGAGACAGCTCAAGTGCTTAATCTTCTAGCTAAGCAAAATACCAAGATGTGATCAGCCATATACCAGAATAGGCTAGCCCTTGATTACTTACTAGCAGTAGAAGGAGGTGTATGCGGAAAGTTTAATCTAAGTAACTGTTGTCTGCACATAGATGATGAAGGGCAGGCAGTGGCTGAACTTACAAGCCACATGGTTAAATTTGAGCATGTACCTACTCAGGTCTGGAATGGGTATAACCTAAGTAGTTGGTTTGGAAGTTGGTATGAGCAGCTTGGAGGAATTAAGACATTAGTAGGAGGAGTAGAATTTATTATATTTTTTTGTGCCTCCTCCTGCCCTGTCTAATTCCACTAGTGGTAAGGTCCCTACGTAGTATTATAGAGAGTACTAGAGAGAAAGACAGCGGCTCATGTAATGGCTGTCTGGAAGATATGATCCCCTAGCCCGAAGAGAATATATTCAGGATGAAGAATGTTGAAGGAGTTTTTAAGATGCTTACAAGGTCTACTCTGGTTCAATGGCTACTTGAGAGATGTAGGTAAAACTGTGATTGGTGATGCATCTGGAATAATGTTATATCAGAGGCATCAAAAGGGGGGAATGTGATGGGATTCCAGCATGGTTAAAATTTAGTAGGCCAAAATCTCCATGTGGCATATGTGTATGTTGTGTCAGTTGGTTAGCTACATGTAGCTAGGATACTGTCATCAGTGTACTGAGCATGTGCAGGAATGCAGGAACTGAAATTGCACTTATTTCCTTTGTCTTGGATGAGCCATGTGGTTTGACTAGATGTACAAGTCTATATTCTGCTCATTGATTGGTTAAAGGTATATGTGGGTGTAGCTATTAATGGGAGGAGTTATGTGCCTATATAGGGAGCCTGCACTATTGTTCAGGGCTCAGAACTTGCTGTATTTTTGGTGACATTAGTCCCTCTGAGTCCCGATCGGTGATCCAATAAAGAATCTCCTCCTTCCTGAAGAAACCTGTGTCCATCTCTCTGTGCTTTGCTTCCGTCAGTTTCTCCGGTATCAATTTAACCGACTCAACATGGTGTCGATGTGTTTTTTGTTTTTAAATCAGAGATAGTATGCATTCATATTACAATAGAAAAGTCTAGCTCAATAAATTTATATTAAACAGTAATGACCCTTACAAAAAGCTCATTAAATAGCAAAATGACATTGATCATTATTTTTTTGTTATTTTTCAAAAATAGGCGAGAGTTAAAGTTGACAATATGATGAAATCTGCTGTATTTTTAAAGGCCATAATGACAAGGGTATGGACAAAGCACTCTCAAAACATTAAAAAAAAAAAAGAAGAAAACTGACTGATATACAATTATTTATACAGAGCCAACATATTCCGCCGCATTATTGTACAATAGGAAACAAAATAGACAAGATTATTTTAACAAAACATGTATGACACACGGGAACAGCAGGTAAACAGGGCCCTGAACAAACAAGCTAACAATCTAAAGGATCAAGTGCAATTTACAAAAAGAACTGCTAGTAATATGATGGGACACCATAATCCCCCAAACCATTACCTCTTAATGTAGTGGTTTTGGTCCATAGATACTTTTTATTTTTTTTTATTTTTTTAAACAGGTGGATTGTGGCGATTGAGGTGTGTGCCCTCTAATTCCAATGTATCCATATGAGAATACTGGATTGACAGTGGAGCCGCTGCAAGGAGGTTGTCTCAGCATAGTTATAAAGTTAAGCATTAAGGGCTTTTTATTTAAAATGAGGAGCCATGAATCTGAAAATAGCAATAAACACTGTAACTCAAAAAATAAATGTACCTTTAATTTTATCATGTTTCTTTAATTTGACCAAAAAAAAAAGAAGAACGTGTACACGTATATTTAGAAATATGTTTAATGAATAATAGTATTTCAAAATTCATACAAAAACATTAGCCTATTTGGATATTTGGCAGAGGACAAATTGTGTGTGGTTATTATAAACATTATTTATTTATAAAGCACCAAAATGTTCCAGTTTGCAGAGAGCCTAGCCCACTTGAAAATGTTCTAAAAAAACAATTGCAAGTTCAAGATACCAGTGCAGCTAGCATCATGAATCCTGGATTAGAAAGGATTGCAAGAATTATGTAGTGGTTGCAGTGCCAAAAGTGCCCGGATGACAAAGCACAGTAAAATATCAGTTTTAGTAAACTTTAACATCTACTCCGTAGTAAACAGGAGAATGCAGACTTCTTTATAGAACGAAACAGAGCCATGCAGGACCACACTTACTGACGCATATAAGCTAAGCACAGTGTTTTATTTTGGATTTGTGCTGCCCTAGGAATGACTAAACTCGGGAACCCCCTACATCTAAATTTGCCTCACCCCTTTCTGTCAAGGCTGCACCTCTTCCTGTTTAAAGGGACACTGTAGGCACCCAGACCACTTCAGGCCACTGAAGTGTTCTGGGTGCAAACTCCCATCACTCTTAACCCTGAGCATGTAATTATTGCAGTTTTTATAAACTGCAATAATTACCTGCTCCTCTAGTGGCTGTCTACTAGACAGCCACTATAGAGGGACTTCCGGTTGCTTAGGCGACTTCTAAACAACGCTGGACATCCTATGCATGAGAACATCCAGCGTCGCTGGATCCCCATAGGAAAGCATTGAATAATGCTTTCCTATGGGGAGATCCTAAGGTGAGGGCGGCCATTGCGGTGCATGCGCATTAGGTCTCCCTCGCCGATGTCAGCCGGCGGGATAAGCGTGGGCAAAGCCTAGCCAGCGCCGAGGGACAGCGTCGCTGGAACCAGGTATGTGACAGAAGTTGTTATTGTCAAGGGGGAAACTATAGTACCAGACACACACCCTCACTGATACATACACTGAAATACACTCACGGACAGATACACAGTCATTGGCATACACTCACAAATGAGTTATTTTTATGTAATTTAACTTCACTCAGCTTCGCTGCAGTGGATCGTATCCGTGGGGTCCAGTGTGGCTGCTGGGCTTCTGGATGGGAACGGCGGGGGTTAAAGAGGGGCCAGAGTGATGCCATGTTCAAGCTCCCAGCATCATAGAAGGGCACGCGAGGGAGCAGAGATCAGCAGTCCCTCGTCGCCCGCCTGCAGTATGCAAATCCAGGCGCCTGTGGTGGGCCCTAAAGTTCCAGTCAGTTCTTGGTTCTCCCATGACACAAGGCATCTGCCGGGGCTTTTGTCCACGACATTTTTGTGCTGCCCCAGAAAGCGATGCCCAAGACAAATGACGTGTTAGGCTGGCTGTAAATACATCCCTGGCAAAGCACTCATCAAATGATCATGGTCCTGCATCAGTTGTGCTTTACTCTACAGACACATTCAGCTTCTCCTGGTATAGAAGACCAGATGCAGAGCAGGCGCCTTGCAGAACTCAAAGGTATGTTGTCAAACCGGACTAAAACTGTTTAATATCTTACAGTGGGACAGTGACTCAAAAGATTAGTAATGTTAGTCTGCTGATTGAAAGGTAGAACCATAAACAAGAAAACTGGGTGCTAAATGTTATACACCTTGCAATAAGCATAGCAAAACATAGCCATCAAAGGAATATTCATTAGTACAAAGCAGCCATACAAATACATACAAAATAGTCTAAAAAGGTAAATAAAAAGAGATGAACATAATGACACACGTGTGGTTTCCATAATATAGTACTAAGTAGGCAAGATACTACTAAAAGTAGACATTAAGTGTTGTTTTTTTCCAAATTGCAGATAGTGTGGACACAACAGCCCTAATGTTTCAGCTCAGCACCTATCCCAAAGGAATCTCTTTTTCCTATTTATGATAATATTGTGGACACCTAAGGCTGTCATCATGTACATCTTTTTTTATAGATCTTTGTAGAATACTTTGCATGTATTTGTATGGGATGTAAGTGTGATGTGGGTTTTGGGCTACATTTTCAGGTTGCTTTGTCAACTCAAATCACTGAATAAACTGCTAGAATTTTGCAGCTGTTGCTGGAGTACAATTCCAAACATTCATGACAGATACAGACCTGCAGGGAGGTTATGCATGCCAACAACACATGCATAGTTACAGATTGGCCACCCACATTAGAAAAACTGACAAATAAGTATGGCCGTGCTGTTCTCATCAAACTGTTACTCCCTCTGAAAAATTCTAATGTTTTCTACTCACTAACATTCTTCCAAACAAGAATGAAAATAAACCTAATTTTTAAAACAAATACAACACAATTTACTTACCCATCTCTTCCTTTACTGATAATTTTTACTTCAAAGTAATATATTCCACATGCGGCTGGAATGGGATGTGTGGCACGTACAGAAGCGGCATCTCTGGAGGTTTTTCCATGGCCTGAAAACAAACAGATAATCTGTAATGCCATCTAAATCAATGCACACTATCACATAGGGATACATATTATTATGGATATCTATGTACAGTGCATTTAAAAAAAAAAAAACATACCCCCTCATCTTTAACCCCTCAGTGACCAGAACGTTTTTCAATTTTCTTACCGTTAAGGACCAAGGCTGTTTTTACATTTCTGGGGTGTTTGAGTTTAGCTGTAATTTTCCTCTTACTAATTTACTGTACCCACACATATTATATACTGTTTTTATCGCCATTAAATGGTCTTTCTAAAGATACCATTATTTTTATCATATCCTATAATTTACTATGAAAACATTAAAAAATATGATGAAAAAAATGTAAAAAAACCCACACCTTTTCTAACTTTTACCCCCCAAATCTGTTACGCATCTACAACCGCCAAAAACACCCATGCTAAATAGTTTCTAAATTTTGTCCTGAGTTTAGAAATACCCAATGTTAACATGTTCTTTTTTGCACGTTATAGGGCAAGAAGTACAAGTAGCACTTTGCTATTTCCAAACCATTTTTCTTCAAAATTAATGAAAGTTAAATTTTTACACTGAAATCTGTCAAGAATCAATGCATAGCCTTTCACATGTATGTATGTATGTATGTGTGTGTATATATATATATATATATATATATATATATATATATATTTATTTTTTCCTGGCTAATCATGGCAGCATATACACATAGGTTAGCTCCTCCCCTTACAGCTGATAGGAAAAACACCAAGGTTTTAAAAGGAGGCTCCATCCCTAAGGTCCCCAGTCTTTTTCCTGTCCTACAGCCCTTAGGACGTGAGCAATTTGCTCCCTTTACTTACGGACATGTATTTATTTTTTTTCATCTTCATTACTTTATTTGCCTTTTTTTTTTACCGTGGTACATTATGCAGTTGTAATTTTATGCTGTGATTCATTTAAGCTTTGATATCTTTAAACTAGTGCATTGTACAGCTGTACCTTATTTTTAAAACTGTGGTACCGTATATACTCGAGTATAAGCCGACCCGAATATAAGCCGAGGCCCCTAATTTTACCACAAAAAACTGGGAAAACTTATTGACGTGAGTATAAGCCTAGGGTGGGAAATGCAGCAGCTACTGGTAAATGTCTAAATAAAATTACATTAATTGAATATTTATTTACAGTGTGTGTATAGAATGAATACAGAGTGTGTGTTGTGTGTGTGTATATAATGAATGCAGTGTGTGTGTATATATAATGAATGCAGTGTGTGCGTTTGTGTGTGTATATATAATGAATGCAGTGTGTGTATATAATGAATGCAGTGTGTATATAATGCAGTGTGTGTGTTTGTGCAGTGTGTGTAAACTGGGTGAGGGGAGGGCATTTTAATATTATATTATTTTAATAATATTATTTTATTATTATATTATTATTATTTTAATATTTGCATTATTTTTTTTTTAAATGTTTTTTTGTCCCCCCTCCCTGCTTGTTGCCTGGCCAGGGAGGGGGGACAAAAAACATTTAAAAAAAAATAATGCAAATATTAAAATAATAATAATATAATAATAACATATTGTTATTAAAATAATATATTAAAATAATAATATTACTATATTATTATTATTAATATTTGCATTATTTTTTTTTTTTAAATGGTTTTTTGTCTCCCCTCCCTGCTTGTTGCCTGGCCAGGGAGGGGGGACAAAAAAACATTGAAAAAAAAATAATGCAAATATTAAAATAATAAAATATTGTTATTAAAATAATATTACTATATTATTATTATTAATATTTGCATTATTTTTTTTAAAATGTTTTTTGTCCCCCCTCACTGCTTGTTGCCTGGCCAGGGAGGGGGGACAAAAAAAACATTTAAAATAAAATAATGCAAATATTAAAATAATAATATAATATTGTTATTAAATTAATATTAAAATAATAATATTACTATATTATTATTATTTTAATATTTGCATTTTTTTTAAAAAAAATTTTGTCCCCCCCCCCTCCCTGGCCAGACAACAAGCAGGGAGGGGGGACAAAATTAAAAAAAAATAATAATGCAAATATAATAATAATAATAATAATATAATAATAATAAAATAATTTTATTATTTTAATATTATATTATTTTAATAATATTATTAAAATAAAATATTAAAATAATAATATCGAATCCCTGGTGGTCCAGTGGCATTGGCAGTTCAGTGGGGGGGAGCTGGCAGTGAGCTCTTACTTACCTTCCTGCAGCTCCTGTCAGCTCCCTCCTCCTCTGTGCAGCTCCTCTGTCAGCTCCATTCTGCTCACATTTTAAGTCTCGCGAGACTTACACTGTGAGCAGAACGGAGCTGACCGAGGAGCTGCACGGAGGAGGAGGGAGCTGACAGGAGCTGCAGGAAGGTAAGTAACAGCTCACTGCCAGCCCCCAACAGGACTGCCGGGCTTGTAATGAGCCCGGCGGTCCTGGTCTGTATTATGGCAATGTAAGTTGCTATAATACAGACTGACTCGAGTATAAGCCGAGTGGGGGTTTTTCAGCACAAAAAATGTGCTGAAAAACTCGGCTTATACTCGAGTATATACGGTACATTATGCGGTTGTGCTTTTTACTAGGAAGCATTTAGGCTGTGTGGCATTTAAAACTGTTTCATTTAAATTTGCATTTAAAACGGTTGGATGCAATACCGAGAGTCATTGGAAACTGCAGTACATTTGGAAAACTGCAGTGCATTTGAAAACTGTGATACATTTTGAAAACTGTGATACCTTTTATACCATGAGGCCTTTAGACTGTGGTGCCTTTAAACTTTGACTTTTTGCCTCTGGTTGCCTTTTAAACTTCCTTGCAGGCACTTTTATGTTATCTATTTTGCTTCCCCTCGGTCCCAGTGATTTATTCCCGGTTCCCTGGGTGTTTAGGGGCCATGTATGCTTCAGACAGAGTTCTCTCCCTGGTCTCTAAACAGCAAACACACTTGGAATGGGCCCACACGTGTGCAGTTTGTGCCTTAATGTGCCTAATACAGATGACTTGCATTGTGGGAATACAAGTTGTGGCAGCCATCTTGGATAAGGGCAATTGACAGAAAGTACCTAAAATAAAGGGAAAATTACAGTAAACATCCCAAACTTATTTGGTAAGTATTTGCAGGGTCTCCAGACATTGATAAGTGCTGTCTTCAGCCAGTTTTAAATATATTTCACTGGTTTCTTATAGAATTTAACAGTGCACTTTTTTACTTAATACTTTACCACAGCTAATATTTAGTTATTATTTGTCAGATGTCTGAATTTTCACCAGGATCTGGTTATGAGGAGAAAACAGTGGAAGGAAAACGGTTATGCACTGACTGCCTCCAGAAGGTTGCCGCTTCAGCATGACCTATCATTGTGAAGCCACATGACATGCGGGCAGGGCTTCCAAAGTAAGTTCCAGAGGCCTTAGGGTTAAGAAAAAAGACACCAGGCTTTACCCTGTGGAGGAAGTTATTTCCAACCCCAGAACTACACCACCTAAGTTACAAACTTATGGATCATAGGTGGACGCAGACCTGTCCAAAATTTTACGCCTACCATTGAAGGATGCCAGCCAGCTGTGGCTTCCGCTGCTGTTTCTACCAACATGAAATATGTGATTTAAGATCTAATGGCTAATATGGAGAGAGATATTAAAAGGTTACAACTGACTTCTTCACAGAAACTTCCCTAGATGTAACTAGGATAGTCTCTGGATCAAATGGATTTATCTATAGCAGCTAAGAAAGCATTATGGTTCTGTTTCTGGGATGATGACTCATCCTCCAAGTCTGCCCTCTACACCATTCTATTTGGGGAAAACTTTGGATAATTCCATTGAAAAGGCGAATGAGGGCTGCAAGACATTTGTACTTCAGGACGGAAGTCCCAAGGATCCCAGCTCCTCATAGTCTGAGCGGAGAACCTCCAGTGACCAGTATTTCTGAGATACATGGAGCTACTGACCCTGCAGTGAATACTCCAGAGGTAACTCATGGCAGTTGGTAAACCTGCCTTTCAAGGTTCTAATGGAGCTATTAAGCAGACGTTTTGCTCTTCAGCAATGAACAGGTCTACTCCAGTACTAGGAGCCTCATTTTTCTGATCAGACATACCTGGGCTCGTCATACTCTGGAGACTTGGGTGGTATCCATAGTCCAGATTGATATAGACTGGAGTTTTTTCTTCAGGCACAGGAGTCTCTATACCAACAGGAGTATTAAGACCAATGAATCAAAAGGTAAAGCACTGAAGGAAGAAGCCTTCTGGACGAAGAGGTCATTTTTTAGGTCCCAGAACAAGAGCAGTTCCAGGGACCAGTTTCGCCTCTCTTCTGGTACAAAGAGGAAAAGCACATGGAAGCCTACACTGGACCTAAGAGGGCCCAAACAAGAGACTCGAATGTCAGACTCTTAGGGATGGAGTCAATCAGATCCATATTTCAAGCGATTTGGAAGGTTCATTTTCTTATCTCTATATATCTCAAGGATGCTTACTATCAGTCCAATCTGCAGAGATCTTAGGCATTAGCTCAGAAGAGAACTTTCAAGTTAGTGCCCTACCATTTGGCCTCAATGCGGCCCCAATAATCTTTATATGTGCTTATGGTGATATTGAGTCCAGAACACCACCTGGTTACATTATCTGGAGGATCTACTTCTGGTAGCCTCATACCCTCAGAAGGCAAGCACACAAAGGAATATAGTTCTTTCAGAACTCCTAAAGTTTGGCTGCTTGATGAATTTCAAGAAAGCAGTTTCACACTAGCTCAGTGGTTGACATTCCTGAGTGGAAAATTCTATGCTCTGCTTTTCCCTATCTCAGGAACAGTTCTACAGATTGTGGAGGTTTTCTCTCCCGGTTTCTTCATTTCTGCTTGGTAACAGCAAGAAAATAGATGCAACTACTAGGAATCTTGGCTTCCACCAGCAGACTTGTCAGATGGGCCCAATGGCATCTCTGGATTCCTCACAGATCCTTCCTATCTTGGTTTAACAAGAGAAAGATTATGGGAGCCAGCCACTGACTGTGTCCCCATCAGTGGAGTTACACCTTACCTGGTAGCGGAAAAGAGAGAATAGATCTCAGTTTACAGTGAACAGAACCTATATTGGTCAATTATTAGCTCGAATTCCTGTTTTTATAAGATTGGTTGCACAGTGTTTGGACCATGTTGCACAATATTTTCATTCATTTGTAATGAATTACTAGTCATTTTCAAGGCTATTCTTCACTTCAGAGGATTACGAGTGGGTCCAAATCTGCTCAAATATCAATGCAACTGTATCCAATATCTATCAAGATGGGTCTCACAGATACGTACTGATGGAATTCCAGCCCATAATGATCAGGGCAGAGAAGAACTACCAGGGGCTCAGAATACAATGGCTGTTTGCTTGAGCCGAATAACTGTGGACAAGGTGGATTGGCAACTATGTCCCAACGTATCCTCGGGGTTGACGCAGATTTGTCTGATACCCTACATAGATCGGATGGCCATTTCTTGGAACTACCAGGTCCAGAAGTATTTTCTACATGCTAGGACCAGAATGCTCAGGTTCAGGATACACTGACTCAAATTTGGAATTTTAGTCTGATGTACATATTTTCCTGTTTTCGACTTTCCTAAAAAGGTAATTCAAAAGGTGACAGTGGAAGACCGTGTCGACTCTAATTCCTATGATGAATAAGATGATTCTGGAACCTCCAAGGGAAATTCCAGTACGTCCAGACCTATTACAAGGCCCCTTGACACACCAAGATCCACAAGTTCTGGTGTTGATGCGGGAGTCCATATTAGTATAGGCATCCCTGAGAAGGTCATTGAGATCCTCTTACAATCCTATACATACTTTACAAAGCTTGACATGCTTTTGTCGGTTTGAATTACTCCTCATTCAGGCCTTGAAAGGTTCTGTGTTATAACACTCTAGAGGAGCACTTAGCTGCACTTTGCTTCATATAGGCATTGATTGAAATCAAGCCTCCACTGAGTATGGTGAAGCTAACATGTGAGGTACCACTAGTCTCATGGGCCCTGACTTAACCATTATTCGAACCTCTAGAAGGAGCTTCCATGGTGGTAGCACAGAAATGCTGGTGGCTGGTACCCCAGCAAGGAGAAGGGGTGAACTCCAGGCTTGATCCTGTGTACCCCCTTTCACTAATTTTCAACAGATATGGTCGTCTTGCATTTGGCAACTGAAGATCTTGCCTAAGGTGAATGCTTATCTATGTCATTCTCTACCTGTACTGAAGGGTACCCATTGAGCGTTGATGCCCCTGGTGCTTTGCTTCATGTATGCAACAATTGAACTCAAGCCTCCACTGAGGGTGTTGAAACCAATATGTGACGTACCACTGGTCTCACGGGCTCTGACTAAACCATCATTTGTACCTCTAGCAGGAGCTCCCATGATGTTAGCACAGACGATGCTGTTGCTGGTACCTCAGCAGGGTGAATGTGTGAACTCCAGGCTTGAACCTGTGTACCCCCATTCACTGAACTTCAACAGGTTATGGTTGTCTTGCATGCAGCACCAGAGATCCTGCCTAAAGTGAGAGCCTTTCAATGTCATTCTCTACCTGTACCAAAGGATTTCAGGGCATTCTCCACTAGTGCTGTTGCAGCATCTCGTGGGCTTCCATGGCAATGGTCTCTGCTGAAACTTTGTAAAGTTGGCATTTGGACCTCTTTGAACTAGTTTGTCCTGCATTACATATTGGACAATTAATGAGGCACAATTTGGATGTCACGTCCGTTCTCTACCTGTGCTAGAGGGTATCAGGGCACTCTCCTCTCATGCTGTTGCAGCATCGTGGGTTTCCATGGCAATGGTTTCTGCTGACACTTTTCGTAAGCTAGCATTTGAACCTCTTTGGACATGTTTGTCTGGCATTTCATACTGTTCATTAAAACAGTCTATGATGCACAATTTGGTACTCGAGTACTTAACTCAGTTCATTATTCTATCTAGGTTGATTGCTCTGATTGTTTGATTGGCTATTATTTAAGTTTCTGGCCCTCCCTTTGTAAGCTTGGGTATATGTTGCCATGATTAGCCAGGAAAGAGGAAAATGTATTCATACTTACCGTAATTTTCTTTTCCTGGCTATTATTCATGGCAGCATATACTGCCCACCCATTAATGTCTTCATTTACGTACTGTAGAGCTTGTAAACTGACTGAGGACCTTAGGGATGGAGCCTCCTTTTAAACTCCTTGGTGTTTTTCCTGTCCTATCGGCTGTAAGGGGAAGATATGAGTATATACTGCCATGAATAATAGCCAGGAAAAGAAAATTACGGTAAGTATGAATACATTTTTTCGACTATATATAATAAGCCGTTAATAAAAATATACAATAGAATTTATTAATTTTCTTATTATCAACAAAGGTGTTTTATATAGCCACTGCACAGTTCGTAGAAAAATACTGTGATTTCATTTTATGGGTGTAAATAAAGTTGGTTTACAGTTGTATTGTAACTCTGATGGTTTCCAATGGAAATTACTCCACTAAACAGCGATTTATGTATGGCTTACAATTTGCTTTTACCAGGGTCACTCAATCATCATTCTACTTTGTAATATAAAAGTAAGATGGGAAAAAACAAGATATCTAACAGCCTTAGGAAATATGCTTGATCCAAGTGAAATGGGTAAATGTTTGCAAATATTATGGTGTTCTCTTCATGGTGGTATCCATGAGCAAAAACAAGGTCTGGGGTTAGAAGTGACTCACTATGGTAAGACTAAACCAAAAGGGAATCTGTTGGGTGGATGCAGACTCTATCTCGTTATTGTCCATTCGGAGGAAGTTTAATAACAAAACACTGTTTTGTATGGTTTTTGTGGCTTTTATATATTACACCTTTGTAATACTTATTACCCTATGTGGAAAAACTAGCCACTGGAGACTATCAATGTATGAGTATGTTTGTATTCTTTCTAAAGCTGTAGAGACAAGTGCAGGATTGTAATTGCATGTCAGGCGAATGAGGGCATTCGTATGCTGGCGACATGAAAACCCCAGCATTCATACTGTAGTTTCACGAACGGTGAGTTTCAACACGGTTCGTGAAACGAATAACCTACCGAATGGACGACCACACACAGGAGGTCGTGTGGCGCCCATTAACCAATTGCAACATTGTTGCAATCGGTAGTTAAGTGCGTTCCTAGGTGGCCATCGTTCGGCTACCGACTACTCGACGGTCGGCCATCTTGGTTCCTTTGTTAGCCCAGCGGGGTTTGGTCGTCGAGCGCCTGGAACCAAAATCGGCTACTCGACGGCGCGAACCTCGCTGGACTTCCAGGCCGTTCGGGAGCCCCGGCCGTTCGGTAGGTTGTTCCCCTGATGTCAATCGGTACTTTGAATAGAACTTGAATTTAATGTGTGTTTCGTGCTGCGTTCGGTTAGCTAGGCTGGGATCTGAGCGGTATTCTCACGAACTGTGCGCTCAGACCCCAGCTATCTACCAAACGTCCATTCGTTTAAATGAAGGGAATATTATGGGAGTTATGTCTTTTAATGTGAAATGTAAGTTCTGCTGCACGGGTGGATAATCCACTTAACGGTATATTCTCGTGGGAGTATCCCTCTCGTGCAGCAGTGCATGGTGGGAAAAATGTATGTATTGTTCAGTTCCCCATGTAGTCCCCTACTGTGCCACCCCTGGAATGTCAGTGGGGAAACCCCTTGCACAGGGAATCCCATAAATACTGTGCCTGTAATTAAAACCTCAGTTGACCTCCAAGTTATGTGTCGTTTAGTTCTTGGGAGGAAGGGATTGTAACTACGCTACCTGGATTTTACCTGCTTTGTACCTGCTTGATTCTGTCTACCAGCAGAGATACAGTGGATAATACTACTACTCCGCTACACCCTACATAGCTATAACTGTGAGGGTATATTCATCTTACTCAAGCCTTGAATTGTTAAACACAAATACTTTTGAAGACATTTTATTATTATTGCCATTTATAAAGCGCCACCTTATTCAGCAGCACTTTACAATATGATAAAGAGGGACATTTAACAATAAATGAGACAATTATAACATGATTGAATGAATAGGTCCCCTACACTGTATGTTTTTTTTCAGATTTATCGAAAACAAAAAAACAAACCCCAGGCAATATTCATGTCATACCATCACTGCAGTTAAACTATTTTACACCAATTCCACATGTTTGTAGTATAGAATGTTTCCAGTGAAATTCAAAACACCTCATCCACAGACATTCAATTATTTAGGAGGATTGTATTAGATTTCCACCTCTGTCTTGTATTCCATGAAACATAGTTGGTGTACAAGGCTTGTACTAAACTACAGTACATTAAAACAGAAGGCTGTAGGTTGCACTTCATTTAAGCAGTCAAATGCCTATTATCACTTTATACGGAGACCAGTGTTAATTTTCGTGGCAAATTTCAATTTAGTTTTAGTTATAGTCTTTTGACTAAAAAGACATTTTAGTTTTAGTCGTATTTTAGTCACCTGAATTGTTTTAGTTTTAGTCTACTAAATCTCAAAAAGTTTAATCGAATAAAATCGTTAGTTGACAAAAGTAACACTGATGAAGACTAGTCAATACACTCTAAAAAAGTGTTCTGATTAGCAGATTATATATTTTGCATTAGAAAGATTTTCCCAATTAAGATATGTGCTACACTGGAAACCTACAATAAAATGTAAAAAAATAAAAATAAAAAAAATCTGACTCTAAACAATAAAAAAATTAAGAAAAATAATGCGGTTTTCAATTTATTTAGATTTAGAAGAACACTTGACAACTACACTGCAAGGAAGCATCAGGCAGAGCATCAAAGAAAAACTATTTTCCTTGCTTTTTTTTGTAAACAAAAAGAAATTAAAAATGCAAACAACACTTGCTTTTCAGGTACACGTTTCCCACTTACAAGAGGAGGTGGCAAGTCAACTAAAGGCAAATATTTAACCCCTTCAGGACGGAGTCAATAGTGCACGTTCTGATCAAAACAAAACAAAATTTACCATTAACTATTCATATATGGAACATAATTTATTATGAATAAAATTTAAAACAAAAAATGTGAGAAAATAAGATTTTCTTTTTAAATTTGTATTTCTGTCTGACATTTTTGCTGTCAATGTCATAATACTGTTAGGTTTTACTGCAAAAAAATGCCCATATTTGTAATCAGCGATGTCTCACGAGTACAACAGTACCCCCCATTAACAGGTTTTATGGTGTTTTGGAAAGTTACAGGGTTCAATATAGAATGTTCCATTTTCACATTGAAATTTGCCAGATTAGTAATGTTACTTTGAGACGGTGTGGTAGCCCAGGAATGAGAATTACCCCCATAATGGCATACCATTTGAAAAAGTAGACAACCCAAGGTATTGAACGTGGGGTATGCTTAGTCTTTTTTAGTAGCCACTTAGATCCACAGCCAGCTATAGGGGGCCATGTGATCGTTCTTTGAGAGCAATCACATGGCCCCTGGGGGCTTCTTTTGCCGTGGGAGGGCTGCCTGGGCTGTGAGGCAGTCCTCCCGAAGCGGAGCGCCGGGTAGGTAAGTATCCCGGGCGTTCCAGGGATGCAAGCCGTTACGGCGTTCTATGCAGCCGCAACGGCTTTAAAGCCCAATTAAAGCGGGACGGCATAGAACGCTGTGACGGCGTTAATCATACTTTTCATAGAGACCTCAGTGGAAAACATACATGCTCACAAAAAGTACTTGAAAGAGCATATGACTTTTTTTTCTTTTTTCACTCAAAGATTTAATATAAATCTGGTGTTAATAATACATTTATCCCTGCTCCAAAAGGCTAATTTACTATTATAAGTAGATATTACGGTATATGTTCACTATGTATACAATGTTAAAATATAAAATGTAATGAAGGTGTATTTAAAGCGACAGGAAAAAGTATATGAAATTCAAGTAAATACGATAAACAAAACACTTAATTATATTGTTAAGTTGCAAGTCACAGAGTGGAACAAAGTAGGAAGCTGTACACTGTCTGTTCTTGTTTAAGCAAGATAACACTATGTGAAGTTGTTTTAGAGCCCTTTGGGGCCTTTCACTATGGTTCTAGATAGTAGACTTATTAATCTATCACTATATGTAAACACGATGGCACAGGTTCATAATATTTGAAATGTTATATGGCCTAGGAGCTGTAATTTAAATACAATGAAGGTGTAACAAAACAAAACAAAGAGCACGCCACAATGGATTTAAGAACTCCTTTAAAAGCGTTGAAAAACAAACTTAAAAGAAGAAGAAAAAACTAAGATAAATATAAATAAATTAACGTTAAACAATTATCAAACGAGTAATAGAGCTGGTAAAAATTTAACTAAGAGACTATGAAACCAATATGCTAAACGTGGGGTAGAAAAACTGGTGGTCGATCAAACTGTTTATTCTACTCCATCTCAAATAGGACAAAAATTTATTCAGTTTTATTATGACATATAATTAAAAACAGAGTCCAAACTTAACGGACATTCAAAATTATTTATCTAATTCATTAATTCCGAAAGTTTCGCCCCAAGATTTATTAACATTAAATAAAAAATTTCCTCTGAAGAAGTTCAATTTCAAATCGACAGATTACCCATAAACAAAACCCAGGGCCCTGATGGGTTTAATAATTTATATTATAAATACATGCAGTCCCAATTATTAAATCCTTTAACTGAAATGTTTAATCATGTCACAGTAAATAATATGATCCCAAAGGAACTATTACAATCAAATCTAGTCCCTATTTTAAAGTCGGAGAAAGATAGTACCGACCCAAGAAATTATAGACCGATTGCGTTAACACCGATATGAAAATATATTCAGCCATTGTAGCCAAGAGAATAAAAACTGTCATTTCAAAACTTATACACTCAGACCAAATTGGGTTTATCCCTGGAAGATGGGCATCTTATAACACTCGTAGGTTGATTGACATTATAGACACTGCCAAAAGACACAGTGTTCCCCTCCTGGCCCTGTCTTTGGACGCCGGAAAAGCGTTCGACAGGGTCGGGTGGGGTTACCTAGGTGAAGTCCTTAAGGCTTTTGGTTTTAAAGGATGGATTTATGGGGCAATTTTAGCCCTGTATTCAGTCCCCTCGGCCAGAACGGTGGGCCCAAATATTACCGCAGAGTGGTTCGACCTTAATAATGGTACCAGGCAGGGGTGTCCTTTGTCTCCCCTACTGTATATTTTATCTCTTGAACCACTTGCGGTTAATATTGAAACAACCATTTAATCATATGCGGACGATGCCCTACTTACCCTTACATCTCCGGAAGATTCAATTGGGCCATTAATGTATGAAATAGATAAATACTTAAACATTTCTAATTTTAAGTTAAACATCACTAAATCTACTGTTTTGTTTTTTTAAATTCTTTATTTTTGTTGTGCATGCGAAAAGTACAAAATTTGCACCCTATACAAATAGAACAAAGAGTGGGTTTGTCACATATAGACAGTTGTACATAGAATTCAGCACATTTTTATAATAAGACAAGCATCGTGCATATTCAAAAAGACATAGCAGTAAGGTTTGAGTAAATGGTGGGATAGGTAAGTGTTAAGTGATAAACCACCAGGTTGTGACAACTTTTGCTTTGGCATAGTAAGTGACACTAGAGTGGTAAAATTGAGAAAATTAATAAAATTAGTTGCGATATAGATTCAGAAAGCAAAGTGAAAACTATAACTAAAATGTCTTTCTTTACGCTTAGTAAGCAGTGACTGTGGGGTCAGACTGAGAGTTGGAAATTTTTAAGCCAATATTACAGGTATGCCTTACTTGTGGGCAGATCTGTCTTCTAGGCACCAATCACCTTCATATGGTTTTTTATAGTTAATGCATTCTGTATGTTATTTTGTGCTAGGGAGATACAGGCATATGTGAAGTGGCACTGCAGCACGCGCTGCAAGTAGGTAACCATCGCTCGATTTAGCACTTGGAGTCCGCTCATCGTGTAATCTTGTTAAAACAAGCTAGGCATAGTCGTGGGTATGTAGCGGTGAGATGATGTGGCAAACTCATGTCAATATTTTGTTATGAGACAGTAGATTAAGTGTTAGCTGGTCTAGCCAACATCAGAACTGTGTCTGCATGTTAGGTTAGGGTAAGTAACTACAGGTAGCTGGTAACCCCAACAGGCGTATAGAGCTATCGCATGCATTTCTATGTAAGTGGCTGGGTTGCAGGCTGTTCCTATATGTCTGAGTGTTAGCTGGTTTAGAAACTGTTACTGTGGAGACCATAGTGTGTTAGAGCATCTAGGCAAGGCTGAACATGTGTTAGTCCTAGTTAGTGGTGTGTAATGTGGACGGCAATACATCTTTTCCTATGTGGGGCACTATTGAGCTTAGGTTGGTGCTTGTATATATTAATCGTGAGTATGCCTTAGCTGTCAGTCGCCTGGTGTGGGTGGGTTTGGGTTGGTACATTAATTTGTGCTAGTGGGTAGGCTAGTATAGGCTAGTTGAGGACAACATTTTGAGTATACAGGTGTATATGCTCTGCAGGAAACAAAACCTTTTAAACCCTTTAAACATGGGTTAAAAAAACTGCAACTGTGCGCTTATTCAGAGTGGCATGGTATCTGTCGTGCGTCCATTCCCGGGTCTTTAAGTGGAGCAGCGCTCAAAATAATAGGGTCCGGCAGGAGCTCTGTCAGGCAGTCTTTTCCGCCGGGGTCCCTCTAGCTCCCTCCAGTCCCCAGGCGCCTGATGGGTGTTTGGCAGCCCTCTGGGCTTTGAAGGTGGTGGATGCTGAGGCACCGGGGTTAGCTGGTTGAAACGGTTTAACTGCGGTCATGTCCCAGACGTGGGGGGTCGTCGGTCTCCGTGCTGGGGTGGTTTGTTCCTGTCGCGGTGGCAAGTCCAGTGCCGACAGCACTGAGTCCATTTCGGATGGGTCAGTTATGTGGGTCGTGGCTCCCCCGTGAGTGATGACTAGACTTCTGGGGAATGCCCAGCGATAAGGTATGGAGTGTTGGCGGAGTGTTGCTGTCAGGGGTTTAAAAAGTCCCCTCCAGGTTAAAGTAGGCTTGGATAGGTCCTGATAAAATGATAAATTGGCCGTGTCAAAGAGGTGAGTGGTTTTCCCCCTCACTGCCGCCATGATGTTTCGTTGGGCTGCTCGCGTTTGGAGTTGGAGTATGACATCTCTCGAGGTGCCCGCTGGGGCTTTGGCTGCTCTTGGAATTCGGTAGACCACGTCTATCGCAGCTGCTGTCACTTGCTGTGGTGTAAGTAAGGTGGCGAGGAGTCTCTCAACAAAGTGTGGGAGGTCATCTTGTGACACCGTCTCTGGGATGCCTCGTATCTTTATGTTCCGGCTCCTGTGCCAGTCCTCCTCTGTGTCCAGGCGGTCTTTAAGAAGGATCTGGCTGCGCCGGAGCTCCGTGTTGTGAGCTTCCAGTTGTATGCATCTGGCGGTTAGGCCATGCGTGTCCTCCTCTATCCTCTTAACTCGCCCCTCCACTGTGTGTATCTCATCCCGCAGTGTTGCTATGTCTACCGCGTGTGGATGTGGCGGAGTAGGGCTTTTATATCGCCCTTAGTGGAGGGTAGGTCGTTTTCTTCGTCTGAGGAGGCGCCGTGCAATCCCCCTGTGCTGGGGAACTCGTCCAGTTCATCTAGCGCCTGCTCCCCCGAGGAGGCTGAGGTCGTGTCGCCATTGTATTTTGGCGCGAAGGCTTCTGCGGCCTTTGCAGGACAGAGGAGAAGGTCTCCAATGTCGCGGGCTCCCGTTGGCTTGGATGCCTTCTGGTGCTTGGGTTTCTTTCCCATCATGTGGTGTTGTGTTGCTGGTTAAGATTAGTAGGCTTTTGGGTGATAATTTAGCGTTTAGCAGGCTTATTTTGGCAGAGCTCTCCTGGTCCACGTCTGCTTCAGTTGGCTGCGAGCTCCGCCCCCCACTAAATCTACTGTTTTAACTATTAACTTGTCTCCAGCTCAGGTTGATAGGTTATCTCAAAAATTTGAATTTATCTGGACAGACAGGGAAATAAATTATTTGGGCTTAATTTTCCCTGCTAATGTCCCTTGCATAATAGAGAGGAATGTTATGATCTAATGAAAGACATGAATCAGAACTTAAAAAAATGGAAAAGCTTAGAAAACTCGTGGTTAGGCAAAATCAATATTATAAACTCTTATATTTTACCTAAGTGGTTATACCTATTCTCTATGGTTCCACTTAAAATTTTCAGGTCTTGGTTGGCAATGATGCAATCAAGTATCAACAACTTTATATGGAAAAATAAAAAAAAACAGAATTAGTCAAAAAATTCTCTTGAAAAAGTTATCCCAGGGAGGCTTAAGTTTCCCAAGCATTACTCATCTTTATTATGCTAATATCATCCGACACATATATACCTTAAAAGAGCCTCTGTCTACTCTTGAACCATGGTATATTATCGAATCTGAAGCGGTTTATTATCCTAGTCTCCACTTTTATAGGTGGATGGATCTTGGGAAGATCCTTATGGAATCTCCCAATTACCTAACCACTCTGGCCCAGTCTCTAGAGGTATGGGCAGAAATTAAAAAATGATTGGGTTTTGCACAATTAATTCCTAGAACCTGTAAAATCAACATACTGGAATATATTATAGAAGACCTCTCATTAAGACATTGGGCTAACAACGATTCATTAACTATATTGGATATTATGCAAGGTGACAATGTTTTGCCATTCCAACAAATTGTAGACAACCTACATATTCAGCCCAGAGAAGTATTTACTTATCTTCGTATCAAACACTTTATACAGAAATTTGTTTTTAAATCCAGTTTTTCCAGAAAAAAAAACATAGAAGCAATATTCTCTTACTGTACAGTTCTCAAGGTAATCTCTGTCGCTAATTCTTTTTTTGAGGGCCCAGAGGCCACTCCACGTAAATTGATAAATACTTGGGAAAAGGAATTAAATATAACGATTTCCCCAAAAGAATGGCTTTGTCTAAACCTGACCGAGTGCCACTTCAAAGTCATACATAGATGGTACTATACTCCGACAAGATTAGCCAAAATGTATACTACTACTTGTTGGAGATGTGGCTCTTATTCTGTTACATATATTCATATATGGTGGACCTGCCCAGTAGTTAAGCCACTATGGACATGGGCTTTTAACATCATCTTCAAACTATCACTAAATAAACTTTTTTTTAAATCCCGCCTTGGCCCTTTCACATCTAAATTGGCAGCTTAAGTCACGTAAATATACTTGTTTGGCCACTCACTGCTTTGTCGCAGTTAAAATCATCATCGCTAGACAGTGGAAATCCTCTAACCCATTTCAGATAATGTATTTGATTAACCAAATTACATTTCAATTGACAATGGAAAGAGATATTACAAACAATTGCATAGGTTTGTCCCAAAAAAAAAGATTGGTATTCTAACTGGCTCCAAAAAACATCTTAATAAAGTGGTTATTGCACTATATCTATTTTCTTTTTCTCTTTCTTTAGATTAATTAGGGCTATAGTTATTATTAATTTTCTTTATATATTATATTATACTCTTTGCTCACAAAAGAGGATAATACTTTAGGGTCATGGCATTAAAGGAGTTGGCGTCTAATGGATATTTGTTTATAAACTGGGTTTACAATGAAGTGTGACATTTTCATATGGATATTCTCCTGCAATAATTCTAGGTGAAGGGTTACTTTTCTGTTTTTGCTTTAATTCTTTTATATTTTCTACATATCCGATTGAATTTGAATATCTATCCTTTGTATGGTTGTCTTTTCTATTTATCGAATATATGTTGTGTATGTATGTGTAATTTGACTTCTGTCTGTAAATTTGGGGGGGAAAAACATTTTCAATTAAAATATATTAAAAAAAAGAAAAGAAAAAAAAAGAAAAAAGAAAAAAAAAGAAAGAGCATATGATGCATCATTATAGCTGCTCTGTTGCTAATGCTTAAAGGAACACTATAGTCACCAAAACTACTGCAGCTTAATGTAGTGGTTCTGGTGTCTATAACCTGTACCTTTCCAAAAACAATGTTTAAATTGCTGCCTAGTAACACCTATAGGTGCAGTCACTGAGACTGGGAAGGAAAGCATTGGATTGGCTAAAATCATCAAAATTGGTGTTCTCAGCCATGAAGAAGAGGCAAGATGAAGCGCGATTGATGCGCTGTTTGATAAAAAGGTGAGTAAAATCACCTTTTCAAAGTGATGCAAGCGGGAATGCGGGCCTAAATAGCCAACTAATTTACGAAATGCCAAACACACTTTTTGGTTGTCACAGTTTAGATGTTTTAACACATTTGACTATTCACAAAAGGCAATTTTGGTTATTTCAAATGAACTGCAGTGAAAAAGAAGTGCACATTTGCATGTCTGTTGAAATCAGCCTAAAGAACACATAACATGGTGAATAGGTTATTCACAAAAAAACAGACAATAGAAATTGCATCTAAACGTTATGCCTTCCTGATCCTAAATCAACCCAATATTAATCTTAATATTAAAGGGTTATTCCAAGCTTGGCTGGTTCCCCGTTAATACCTCTTACTAGGGTCTCAGCTGGCTTTGAGGCTCATTTTCTGCTGGGTGACTTGCGCACGTCTATTCATTTATTGGATGCAAATAGCAGCTGACCGTTCTCGGCAAAACAATGGCACACCGTAAATGAAGATTTGCACAGAATCGACATTAGAATGGCTAATGACATTGCTGGAGGTAGAGTTACACTTTATGCTGCACATGCAGGCTCTAGGCACCCTGACTACTTCAAATCATTGAAGTGGTCATGGTGCTTGGAGTAACCCATAAACCTTTCAACTATACCCCCACAATAAATATATCGCAAAACCTACTGAATAAGTAGCATTTCGTTTGTAACAGGTAAATTCAGTTACAATTTGGCTGCAATTCAGATGCAGTATTCTAAAATAAATCTCACTGCAGCAGTAAGATCCATTTGAAAATAGCAAGGATCTGCTTGGCTCAATTCTGTTAGCAATCTTTTAATGAATACAATGAATTAGAGGAATTTTTACATCGAAATGAAGGAGAATTGAGACAAATCAAATTAGCCAAATTTGCAGAAGCAATTTCTGTATTTAGTGAAGAGACTCTAGGGAAGGGGGTAAGAAACCTTTTAGCAGCACTGTGCCAAAATAAAAAATTGAACTCCCTTGGCCAGCCAGTCCTATCTTATTCATTTGTGTAAAAGTTGCCGTATACGGCTTGTGTTATGTATTGGTGCTGCAGCTGCTTTGTATGCCTTTATTTGTAGGTATGTATGTGTGATAATTAGACTTGTGAACTGCGAGAAAATTTGGTTCCGCCAAACCATTTCCACCAAAAATAGAAAAATTTTTGAACATCGGAATTTGGACTATATGGCAAGTTCAGCAGAATATCGGTACTGAAAACCAGATTCGGAAATAAATCACACAAAACCAAGGGCACGATAATGGACTAATCATGTACAGCAAAATCTATAATATATATTGTACTTATTACCCTACATTAGATCTCTTTATATATTTTGCAGTACACTGATAGGAGCATTTTCCAACCATTTGGTCCACAGTCTGAAAAAAGTAACCAATAGAGGATAAAACATTTCTGCTTGGAGTTTGGGAATTCGACCAATCACCTGATCAAGGAATTGCAGTTAGAACTGAAACAAATCTCCACAGTCATACATTGTCAAAGATACGGCTAGACTCACACACTATGCAAAACAAACACAATGTTACACACACACACACAAAATCACACTGCAAAACACACACAAACTACACCCCGTACATTGACAATGCGGTTATTGTTATCCACAGTCCTTTTTGGATACCATTTAGCAGCAGCAGTGTGGCATCCCTGGATTCCAGAGAAGACTTGGATGGCCAGGTACAGAACAAGGGCAAGTGCTTTGGCGGGCTGTTCTCCTCCCACACAGTTTTTTCTTACAAGCATGTTTACATTGAAAAGGTAGTGTTTACATTAAAAAGGCTGCAGAGACAGGCTATAGACACCTGAACAACTACCTTAAACTGTAATTCTGGTGACTATAGTGTCTCCTTTAAGCTTCGCCCATTGCCACAATTTGCCAAAGATCATGCTCACCATAAGAAAAAAGTAGTCACTAATTTTTTTCTTCTGTAAAACTAAAAAACCATGTTAAAAAAAAAAAAAACAAGTCTAAATAGTGGAACAAAAACAAACAAAAAATGGGGCGGAGTCTGACGACACAACAAAGTAGTTGCCTTTGGGCACAGCTTCGCATCAAATCCTGTTTTTTGGGGGTTTTCACCCAACTTACACCCGACCCCCTCATGAGATCTTGGTCCTGTGCTCCCTACCACAGCGATCTGTCGTTATTTCAGATCTGTAATAAGAAACAACAAACGTTGCTCTGAGGCCTACCGTCTTCCCTCAGACCTTGAACTCGCTGGTCTGCTGAGAAGCATTCTGCCACGCGACGCATATAAGGCAAGAGCAGACCTGGCTCTTCTCCATGGGAAGGAGCACGCCGAAGTCTCCACCCACCCTCTGGTTTAAGAGATATTGGCGCTCTGCTCCAGCTCCAAAATAAAATGGCAGCGCCAGTAGGGTGTGAGACCTTGGATGCCCTGCACAGGCAGATTCACTCTCGAGCTCTGCTACACCAGGTATGGATCACTCTACACAAGTTACTCCGGACGGACAGGTACCTGTTAATAAGCAGGATTTCCACAATCTAGTGATAGAGATCAAATCTCTCTTGGCATCTGATGTAGCAATAATCAAAGCTCACATGCAAGCGGTGTAATGTACATGC